GGGGAAGAATTGCCTTTGGGAAACTTAGAGCCTTCTGGGAGCTAGAGAGACAGCTCTTATATTTGAGCTTGCATTTTTTTTTTTTTTTGAACATACACAGTAGATCATTTATTATACAAATCACATTTTTTAACAAAAGTAAAGATAAATTACAACTTTAATTTAAGCTACAAATTACACAGGTATTGCAATGAAATGCATAGGTGGTAAGGCTCACTTTGGATTCATCCCAAGAACATAAAAATGAACTTACTTTTTCTTAAAGTGAAAACTAAGCAGTTCCTTAACTTTACATTATTATGTCATCACAAGTTCACCTTTCCATCAATATCCTTCTCTAGAAAAGAGATTGAGAGCTCATTGTCAAGGTAGAGCAATATTGTCCAGCAACATACTAACATCTCCACTGTCAAGGGCTACTTGTATTATAAGTTCCCCAATGTACTTTATTTATTTTGCTTTTTAAAAATATCTATTTACTTACTTACTTATTTTTATTTCTTTTCAGCATAACAGTATTCATTGTTTTTGTACCACACCCAGTGCTCCATGCAATACATGCCCTCCTTAATACCCACCACCTGGCTCCCCCAACCTCCCACCCCTCGCCCCTTCAAAACCCTCGGGTTGTTTTTCAGAGTCCATAGTCTCTCATGGTTCACCTCCCCTTCCAATTTCCCTCAACTCCCTTCTCCTCTCCATCTCCCCATGTCCTCTATGTTATTTGTTATGCTCCACAAATAAGTGAAACCATATGATAATTGACTCTCTCTGCTTGACTTATTTCACTCAGCATAATCTCTTCCAGTCCTGTCCATGAGCTTGCATTTTTTTGTCCTCTTTTTTTAATTGTGTTATGTTAGTTACTATACATCATTAGTGGGGTTATTTTTGTTTTTGTTTTTATAAACATATAATATATTTTTATCCCCAGGAGTACAGGTCTGTGAATCGCCAGGTTTACACACTTCACAGCACTCACCATAGACATCATTAGTGTTTGATGTAGTATTCCACAGTTCATTGTTTACATATAACACCCAGTGCTGCATGCAATACGTTCCCAACTTAATACCTGCCACCAGGCTTACCCATTCCCCCCACCCCTCTCCCCTCTAAACCTCTGAGTTTCTCAGAGTCTGGGCTGTTTAGTTTTGGAACTAGACAAATGTGACAGTTGCAAATTTTACAAGTTTTTGTCTATTATATTGCTTGAAAAAGAAGATTTCAGAAAATAGGTTAATTAAACCAAAGGCCCATGTGTAAAATAGTGAAATTATTTTTATATATGACTTTAAATATAGAGAATAACTGTTTTATTTAAACTCATGCTAAGGACATATTAACTCTTTTATGTTTGGTGTTATTTAAGCAAATAAGATTAAATTATACAAAAGTTCTACTCATTTATTTTTCAGCTCACCTCAAGAAATCTCTTTATGTGCACAAGTAACTCATCAGAAGGCTGAGGAGATATACAGTTATATTCACTATGTATTTGATGTGCAGATGTTACCAGATGGTCTTAACCAAGGTAGACTACAATCTGATGCATGATCATATTGCTCAGGTTTGGTTATGAAAAAGAACTCTCGCAATACTGAATGCACTTCAATAATCATTATTGTGGTTTGTGGTGATCAGTTTAAAATATATAAAAGTATAGTTTCATATCTATTTTATATTGTGTACATTTTTATTTATATAATTATAATTATTTTAAAAGAAAACCTGATATTCAGTAATCATTTTGATTAACTAGATTATGAAACTTATTTATTGAATAAAAGAAGGTTTACTGAAGGTGCTTTTAAGAAAGTAAAAGCTTGAGATAGAGATGTATTTTAGAAAATTTCCAGAGATTATAGCACTGTACTTGCCATTTGTTAGCATAATAGGTTGAGGTGTCTGACTGCTGCCAACTTAATGGTCATAAATAATTTTCCTATATATAAATGATAATATCATAGAGAATATTTTAAATGTCCCGAGTCTATCTACATATTGGGTAAAATGTGAATGGTAGTTCTATAATGAGATAAGTGCTCCAGTTACTAGGAGAGATGAAAATTTAACTGAATATGATTATCTTATCAAAAGTGTCCTAATCAAGTATAGTCAAATCCTGCTAGTATGAACTCCAACCTACACTGCTTTTTTTGTTGTTGAAATATCATATTCAAAGAAGTGGTGTATTGGCTTAGATTTGGGAAACTGGTTAGTATCAGATGAGCTGTTGAATGTGGACTTCACTGTGCCCATAACAGTGTCTGTGATGCTATTAATATTTTAGGATGTCTCCATGTTTTTATCTGCAATATCTGAGGCCCTCCTAGTCAGTCCTTAACTATGGATCCCCCTCTCCCCCCCACGCCCCCCATTTAGAGTCTTTTATTCTCTGGTTGCCTCATTGTTTTCTTGTTACCCTGCAGAGTGGTGAACTAACCTCACAGTTGAGTTCTGCTTGCCTTACACCAGGCAGGGACTTCAGAGTTCACCTAATTCAAATTTCTTTGATCTTTTCTTATCAGGTGGAAATAAGGCCCACAAACAAGTGACTTATTCAAGTTTACTGGGAAATCTAGAACCAGAACCCAGGAACTAGAGACAGGTTCCCGCCCCCCCCCCAAAAAAGTTACTCTTAATTGTGAGCTTAGCTTCTTTGCGGTAGTATAAATTCTTAATTCTACTTAGAGCAGCAGATTTCATAGTTCTACTGTTCAATAATTCTGTCGAAGTGAGAAATTCTAGAAGTTACTGGCTCATGTGCAGGCATCGATTTATTTTTCTCTCAGGCTCAAATTTACCCTTTGGTATCTTGCTATAATGGGCTGGACTTTTTGAACATTTCTCCCTACAGTGGGCATGATTTAAGCTTTATCAGTAGAAGGAAGAAAGGGGCTTCTTTCTGGCTCCAGTTTGCTGTTCTGCTGCTGCTTACTCCTGCCACCTGTTGTCAGCGGTGCAGGTGGGTGGGGACATTTCGTGGTACCATGCCCTAGCTGCATGCCAGAAGCATGCAGTTCCTCAACAACTTCCCACTGACCTGGGAATGATGACCACCTTGCAGCATCTCCCATGCAGACACCAGTGTGCTCAAATTCTTTGTGTCCAACCACCAGACAAAATATTTTATTAATTAACCTGGTGTGAGGGAGACAACCTAGAGGATTTTATTTATTTATGCTTGCTGTGTACAGAGCTCTATCCATATTTAAGCTGCAGCAGTCTTCTTTATACTTTCATTGGTAGCACTTAACTCTCAGCCCTACTGATTATTAATTCATCTTGAAGCCTACTTTTAAGTCTCCTTTGGAGGTTACTTTAAGGCTTACTAGCTTATCTTATGACCTGATGGAAAGAAATGGGACTAACCAGGTACCTGGCAGTGGGATACAGTAAAGTAGACTAGGAAGGACACTGAATGAGTTCTAGCAGGACAAAGGGAATTGGGGAGGGGGGGAGGCCATACTTTTTGGTGTTAAGTCTGTGCTATATCAAAATTATCCTTTTGTTTCCCATTATGGAATTTAAGTACCCTCTAACTCCTTAAAAACACTATCCATTAACATTAAACAGCATGGTATTATACCAAATTGGCAATTTAAGTAATAAAACTGTATTTCACTAAGATAATCCCTTCATTTGTTCCATTCTACATCTAAGTCTTTGTGGCAGAAACAATTATGAACTCAGTCTAATATCTCAGCAATATTCTTTTCAAATCTTGTGTTTCCAAAAGTTCAGTAGTTATACAACTGATTGTTACTGACTAAATTCTTAAGAAACAAGAAAATATATTTTTTACTAAAAGTTCTGAGAATTTTTGAGGCAACAAGCTGAACCAATAACAAAGTGCATATTTATTTACTTTCTATGATCCAGTAATCGAACAATAACAACCAAAATACAAATGTTATAAAATCAAACCAAGTTTATTTGAACAATCTAACTGGAGATAAAGGGTAAGTGAATATATACTATGACCACAGGAAAAATATTCTATGTCAAATTTCAAAACAGAGTGGCAAAATGAGCTAAATGTTTATTTCTAAAGGAGCTATCTGAAAAGAAAATGTTTACTATAACATGGTATATTAACTTCTTACAATTTAGTTTAACTACTTGAATGTTTGCCTAATCCAGTCTTTTTGAGACCAAATGTAAACCATGTCTGCATACGTAAATAAGGCGTAACGCAACAAAATTTGTTCTCTGATTCTATCTAATAAAATACAGAAAAAGCAATAAGTTAAATTTATATAGGTTTCATAGGTATGGTAATCACAAGTTTTAAGAAAAAAACCAGGAGAAAGAGTGTCACGTTAGTTTCAACAACATGTAATTTAAACATTAGATCAATTCTGGCTTGTATACCAAGTGATAACAAATGCTAACTCAGACATTTTCATGTACCCAGTATCCAGTACCCAGCAGTACAATCTACTTTTCATTCTCGCTCCCCAACCCTATCCCTAAAGGGTAGCAATATTTTCTTGGAAGCTTTTAAAAAATCTGTTTGGAACATGATTTTCTTAAAGTAAGCAGACTTGGATGCTTAAGCGAGACTTATCTAGAATTTTTTTTAAGATTTTATTTATTTGACAGAGATCACAAGTAGGCAGAGAGGCAGGCAGAGAGAGAAGGGGGAGAAGCAGGCCCCCTGTTGAGCAGAGAGCCCGCCGTGGGGCTTGACCCCAGAACCCTGTGATCATGACCCGAGCCGAAGGCAGAGGCTCTAACCCCTGAGCCACCCAGGTACCCTTAGAATATTTTAATATTGCAGAAATTTACAAATATCTATACAAGCAAAACAAGTGTCCTTATATTTTAGTAACCTGCCGCAATGAGCAATATTTACAGGAGGATGTTTTACTTTGAATACAAACTCCTAAAACCTTCCACAATTTCATATGGAGGTATGTTATAAGGAAAATACATGTATTCCAAAAGAAGATACAAATTATCTGCTTCTTGATAAAAATCCTGGAAATATTTCTCATTTTTACTATGCAGAATCAGAATTTGAAAAATAATAATCTTTGTCTTCTTCATCTAAAGACTCCATAGCATTAGTGAAAAGTTTTCCAATACCAGAATTTTCTCCTAATTCTGTAAAGAGAAGTTTAATAAAGATTAATATACTTCTAAAAGTAATTTCAAAGAAACTGAAAAGAACTGAGAAATTGAATAGTTTAAGTCTGGCCCATTTGAGAGCAGTTAATTTCATGTACCATGTTAATAAAGAGGCTATCTTATAATAGATTAAGCTACAAAAGAAAAATAAATTACCTTTGTTAAACAGGGTTTCTTTCTTTGATGTTGGAGTTAAAAAATCAGTTTCAACCTGCAAGAGAGTTTCTATTAATAGTAAATAGTACCTTCTGTGAATTCTGCCTCAAACATAGACAAAATAAGCATGCTTCATCCCAAGTACCTTGAACACATGCCTATAATGATACCTAATCACATTATAATTATCTGTGAAATGTCTAATTTTAAGTTGAATTTATCTGGGGCAAGAATATTTGTTCAGTGTTTTTCCCATTGCTGGCAAACATGACTTATAAGAAAATATTACAAACTAATGCTGCAGAGGTGACGGGATAGTCTGTGGGCCTCTGGACAGCTGCCAAAATCTAAGTACTCAATCCATTACATTACACTAGCAAAATTTAAATTCTTGTCTAAAATGGTAACTTATATGACAAATTTTAAATGTATAATACATACTTATTACATCAATGACTTTTAAACTTTTGGACATGGCTGCCTATCTTTAAAATATGAAAAGGAATAGGATAGAAAATATGACAGGGTATATCCACTGTACTAAAGGTAAATATAGTTCAAACTTTTCAGATACAAACCCATGATCAGATTGTGACAAATGTACTTTTTCTTGTGAAATGAGTCAAAAACACTATTCTATCATTTAGCTCTCAAAATCATTCAAGGACACTAAACCCATGATTCCCACATCAATGATAACCATACGTGAATAAAATGAGATTAGAAAGGCCAAATAGCTTGTCTTATTATAAAGCTGGTACGGGAAGTCAAATCTTGAAATCAGAATTTTTAACACTAAATCCTTTGCTCTTTCTGTCCTCACACTAGCTACAAAATACTAGTCTGTGAAAAAATAGGACTAAATCACAAGGATATTATTATATTTCAGTAGATTGCTCCCATTATGACCCATTAAGAAGAAAAGAAGTCCAGTACTGGTTAGGATGATATCAGAAATACAAAGAAATAAAAATTCTTAATGGGAAGGGTCCTTATAGATTTATCCATGTGAACAGACTAAGTGGATTAAGATCTTGCTACTACTCAGTATGGTCCATGGACAGCAACATTGGCATTATATCATCTGAAGCCTGTTAGAAATGCAGAAATCTCAAATCTCAAATCTACTGGATCCGAATCTGTTTAAGATCTCTTAAGTGACTCTTGGCCACATTCGAGTTTGTGAAACAGTTGTCAAAACAACCCAACTTTTTACTGGTGAAACAGAGACTAGAAGCCAGCCAAGTCTTTCTCACTATGATGATTCCAGATCCTTTGCAACAAACCACAATTTCATTCTCTGGTCTCAGGAATGTCGGACTGGAAAAAGGAAATCTAAGAATCGTTGAGTCTGTCTGCACCCTGAATACTGGAGATTTCTTTTAAAGAATTTGGTCTCCAGGCTGATTTTAAGTATCTACTATTTCCTGTGGACAAAGGAAACCCACAGAGATTGGATAGGATTATGTAATCCCAATGTTTAGTTTACAAACTCTCTGAGAAGAATTATACTCTAGAGCAAGTGTGCAATATAAATATTTCAACATGGGTAAGGGAGGAAGAAATTGCTATAATCTGGTCAGAAGGAATATACAATCAGGAGACAAGGTGGTTCTTCATTGTACCTCCATAAATAATCTCTTAGAGTAACTACTTTGAGGGCAAGAACTTTTACATATAACTCCCACAGTTTGCCATATATTATAGTTGTTCCATAAAGGTGATGAATAAATGAAGAATAAATAAACTTACTTTTTTCTTGATATTGCCCCAGACAATGCCACCTTTACTTCTATGGTTTTTTTGCATACGAAAGACATATTTATCACAATCATTCCTGTTTGAATACAAAATTTTAAGTCAACATTAACTATCATACTTCTCTCCACAGCTTGAATAGCAACTGACAAAATTAATTTAAAATGTGTTTTGATCTTTAAAAAGTACATTTTCTGGGGAAAAGTGTATCTTCTGGGAAGTATATATATATTTTTTCTGGGAAACAAAAGTAAAAATAAACTATTGGGACTACATCAAAATAACCAGCTTCTGCACAGAAAAGGAAACAATCAACAAAATTAAAAAGCAACCCACGGAAGAGGAGAAGATATCTGCAAGTGACATAGCTGATAAAGGGTTAGTATCCAAAATATATAAAGAACTTCTGCAACTCAACACCCAAAAAAGAAATAATCCAATTAAAAAGCAGGCAGAAGACATGAATAAACAGTTCCCCAATGACATCCAGATGGCCAACAAACACATGAAAAAAATGCTCAACATGACTGATCATCATGAAAATTCAAATCAAAAGTATAATGAGATATCACCTCACACCTGTCAGAATGAGTAAAATCAACACAAACAATAGGTATTGGTGGGGATGTGGAGAAAGGGGGAACTTCGTGCACTGTTGGTGGGAATGCAAACTGGTACAGCCACTGTGAAAAATAGTACAGAGGTTCCACAAAAAGTTAAAAATAGAGCTATTCTATGATCCAGCTATGGCACTACTGGGTGTTTATCCAAAGAATACAAAAGTATTAATTCAAAGGGATACTGCACTGCAATGTTTAGAGCAACATCACCTACAATAGCCAAATCATAGAAACAGCCCAAGTATCCATCAATTGATGAATAAAGAAAATGTGGCCTATATATAAAATTGAATATAACTTAGCCATAAAAAAGATTAAAATCTCCATTTGCAACAACATGGATGGAGCCAGAAAGCATGTTAAGCAAAGTAAGAGAAAGACAAATAACCATGTGATTTCACTCATACTTGGAATTTAGGAAACAAAAGAGATGAACTGGGGGGTGGGGTGGGGAAAGGCAAACCAGGAAACAGATTCTTAACTATAGAGAACAAACTGATGGTTACCAGAAGGGAGGTAGATGGGGGAGGGATGGGCTAAATGGGTGATGGGGACTAAGGAGCATACTTGTGATAAGCACTCGGTGTCGTATGGAAGTACTGAATCACTATATTGTACACCTGAAACTAATATTAATCTGTATGTTAGCTAACTAGAGTTTAAATAAAAACTTAAAAACAGGAAAAGTGTATTTGTCTTTTCCATTCTTTTTTTTTTTTTTTTTTTAAGATTTATTTATTTGACAGAGAGAAAGCACAAGTAGGCAGAGGGAGGGAGAGCAAGAGCGAGAGCCAGATGCGGGGCTCGATTCCAGGACCCTGAGACCCTGACCTGAGCCGAAGGCAGAGGCTTAACCCACTGAGCCATACAGGTGCCCCTGTCTTTTCCATTCTTAAGACAACAGTTTACTAATGGAAATGGACAAAATGCTTCAACCTAACATTTTAAAGGAAACACTGAGTAAGAATATTCTAGGAAATTATGGTTTTGCTTATTGCTCATTGTCCCATTGGTGCTCTTTCCAATCATTATCTTGCTCTCTTTTCCAAAATTCACTGAGACGACTTGTCCCTGGACTCCCTTTAAGACCTCTCACTCCTTTCTACTGTTCATTTCCTTCCCTATCCAGATTGAATCTTACAGTTAGCCACTTTAAGGGATATACCTGGTGATGAAAATCCTCAATTTATAGCTTCCAACTAAATATCGAGTCGTTTCTTTTTAGTTTATTTTTCCCCTTCTCATTCTTAGCAAATACTTGGCTCAATTTACAGACACAAACTGAACCTAAACAGATTGGCTGTTCCCATTTCTCTCTACAGTTTGTAGTCTTGCTCATGACAGTAAATACCAACTGAACACCAATTCTAATTCTCTCTCTTGAGTTCAAGATCCTTTATGATCAATTATCCTTTCCTTTATGATAATCTGGAAGCAACCATAAAGCTATGACATGTTGAAATTTCTAAATATATGACTGTATTAAGGTATTAATGTGAACCACACACACTGCTGTATAGCTAGTGAATAAGCCTGGCCAGCTGTTCAGGATCAGCATCCCGTGAGCCTGCTGTCCTGTACATAAAAGTCACTTCTGAAGTGATTAAAAACTGTTTCATTATTTAAAATAAAAAGGAAGCCAACTATTAGAGATGGTGAGTCAAGACAGTGTAGAGGCCTAGGAAACTCATTTTTTCAAAGTTTTGGGAAATATATTCATGATATTAATGAGTCTGCCATGTGTTCCACTGGGGGGAAAAAAAAGATGTATTGCCATCATTGTAAAAGTGATATAATTAAAAAAAAACAAAAACAAAAAAAAACCCCAAAACCAAAACCCATTCAGTGAGGGATAATAGCTAATGATGTTTTTAGTCAAGAAATTTCCTCTCTGAATATGTTATGCAAATTGGGATACTGTTTATAATCTATAATCAACTGAACATTATTCTTTGTTGTTAAAAATTCCTTGAAGATTGGGGTGCCTGGTTGGCTCAGTGGGTTAAAGCCTCTGCCTTCGGCTCAGCTCATGATCTCAGGGTCCTGGGATCAAGCCCTGCATCGGGCTCTCTGCTCAGTGGGGAGCCTGCTTCCCACCCCTACCACCTGCCTCTCAGCCTACTTCTGATCTCTGTCAAATAAATAAATAAAATCTTAAAAAAAAAATTCTTTGAAGGCATGATTTTTAATTGTTACATATTATTCTATTATATGGACAAATTCTACTTAACTTTATTGGACATTTAGGTCATTTCCATATTTTCAGTATTGTTTCATAATGAACATCTTTGTTCATACAGATGTACATACATACTTCCCCAAATACATTTCCTTATAAAATGACTAAAAAAATTCAAGGGCCAAAGGGATAAATATTTTAAAATTTTTGATGATTTGGACAAAGTACTTACCAAAAACTTTGTCCAAAATTATACTCTCAATATACTTTCACTTGCAATGAATACCAAATCAAAAATAAACCAAAAATAATTTGTGGAATACTGGGGGAAAATTATGTTTTTACCAAATAAATGCAAATTAAAATTTCACTAAGCTTCAAGAGAGGACTGAATACTTTTTTTTCATAGTCATTATTATTTGGCTTCTGCCTCAAAACCATGGAAATTACTTTTCATAAAATCAGCATTGTCCTGCTTGATTGTCAAATGGAATGGCTTATTTTCAGGCCTCTTATTTATTACTTTCCATCTTTTCTCTGTGTTATTGAATTGTCGGTCACCCCTGATTTTTAATTTTATTTATATTTCAAGTAGTTCCTGTATTCACATAGTTCAAAATTCAAAAAGTTTCCCTCTTATTCTCATCTCCAAGTGATCTTAGTTCCTTTTTGTAGGGATCATTAATGTTTTCAGTTTCTTATATATTCTTCTAGATATATTTAATAAAAGGAAAGCAGTTACATATATATGTATACACACACACATATATATATGCACATACAACATATGCAAGTACACACACAGGCAAATAATTCACTGCATCTAACTTTTTTCACTTACTATATCTTGAACATTTTACCATAATAGTACCTAAAGAATTTCTTCATTAATTTCTATGGCTACATAATGTACCAGAGTTTATCTGACTAGAATTTGAGTTGCTTCTAGTCTTTTGCTATTATAAACAATAATAAGCTGTGCATTCACTATTTGAGAAGCAGGACTGATAGGTCAAAGAGCATATGTATTCATAATTTTGACAAATACTGAAAAACTGCTTCTTAGAGACACTATACTAATTTACCTTCTCACTAGTAATGCATGAGAATGGCTTTCCTTTCCTCTTAATTTTTAGGAGTGCTGCATTAGGAAAATTAGCCTTTTCCTTTGATGAATTCCATATATTCTTTTGACAGATCACTGTTTATATCTTTTTTCTTCACTGTTTATCTTTTGATTGCTTATGGTGGTTGGTAGGGGAAAACTGTTTACCTGGTTGACTTTATGATTCTTTTTGTTAGTGTCTTCTGAGTCTTGCATCATAGTTTGAAAATACTTTTACTAATTAATGATTATCAAATAATCCTGCAAGGTTTCTTAAGGTATATTTTATAGTGTTATATGTTATGCAAAACTTTGATCCATTTGGAATTTTCCTGATGTAAAGTGTGAGCTGTGTCCCTATACTGTCTCTACTTGTTCATCCTTGACTTTTAAGAACTATTCTTTCTTGATTTTTTTCAATGATAACTCTTCTTATTACTGACATCTACTATCCAACTCATCAAATTTTAAATGCTGATGAGAGAATTACGGTATCATATGCCTATTTACCTATTTATAGAGGCTAGCATGCCAGGACTGACATGTTGACACTGAGGAGTTTTTGCCAATGGAAAGACAACTGATGATGGAGTTGTTGGATTTTTGTCCATACTTGGCAGAATATCATCCTCTTCTGCACTGTCCTGGAGACTTGGCAACTAGAAAACAAATATTTATTACCAGCCAGCAGATAACCCTAAAAATGGCATTTCTCATTATCACTAAATGTTTTTGGGTGGGCTAATAAGTTGTTTTCCTCCTTAAATTTTCCAGCTGAGACAACATACTAGTGGTTACAAAACAGTGCCTTGGCCTTTAAAAAATTTTGGTTCTATTGTGTTAAACAGAGACAATGACGCCTGTTTCTAGAAGTTGTGTAAAGACCAGGAGTCAGCAAATGTTTCCTGTAAAGGGTCAGTATATATTTTAGGATTTGTGGACCTCACAGTCTCTGTCCCAAATACTCTGCTGTTGTAGCATGAAAGGGGACATAGCTGACTAAACAATGAACATGTCTGTGTTCTAATAAAATTTTTTGTTTCTAAAAAATGTGGCCTGTCAGATTTGACCCATGGGTCATGGTTTGCTTACCTCTGTGTAAACAGAACAAAATAGAACTAATTCATTGATTATTATGCTTGGCACTTAATAGGAATTCAAGCAATATTAAACTTTTGTGTATATATATTTCCAATAAACAATTCAATCCTTCATTAAGATTTTACCTTCCGTTACATTAAAACCTTAGAGAAACCTGAAATGATGGTAGAATTATATAAAGGATATATCCCCTAAAGGACCATGGCTGTTATGTAGGAAACACAGTAAGAGCCTCAGATGGCTCCCTTAAAATACCTTCCTTTATTTGTGTAGGCTAAAAGACCCCAGAAAATGATGTTACTAAATTCTTAAAGCATTGTGTAGCTTTTTAGTATTGGAGATGATGTAACAATATTAAGAAATGAGTAAATTTAAAAAAAAAAAAAAGTAAATTTAAAAATTACCCCTGAAGTTTAGCTCACTAAAACAAAACAACTCTTTGAATTTTTACACTTCAATCAGTTGTCTATATCTATCCATTTTTGCATTAATCTTAATACTCTTTAACATTTACATTTACATTCAAGACATAGTCTCAAATTTGCAATTAATATTTATATTGTATTTGTTTATAAGGAGCATCCTTACACACACTCTCTCTCTCTCTCTCTCTCTCTATATATATATATAGCTTCCAGTTTGCTACTGTAAAGATAAACCTGCCATGAATATCTTTGTCAAGATTTTTGGCTTTGGGGTGCCTGGGTGGCTCAGTTGGTTGAGCATCTGCCTTTAGCTTGGGTCATGATCTCAAGATCCTAGGATTGAGCCCCACACTGGACTCTCTGCTTAGTGGGGAGGCTGGCTCTCCCTCTCACTCTCCCTCTCTGCTCTCCTTCTCTCAAATAAATAAAATTAAAAAAAAATAGATTTTTGGCTTCTTTTGAATTTCTTAGGATAAATTCCAATGAATACAATTAATCTAATGGTTCTTTAACAAGACCATGATGCTTTCCAAAAGGTATGATTCATTTTACATCCACTGATGTATGGCTACATCATTATCTCCACTGCTTTTGTTAGTGGATATTTTAACTCATTTTTACAAAAGATTCTGTAACTTAGAATATATACATATACTTAGTTTTCTTTTGATTGTAAGCTAATATAACCACCTCCCCAAGTAGTCTTTTTTTTTCCCAAGTAGTCTTTTGAAATTTTTTCATGCCCACTTTTTCCCTGCAATCTTGACATTTTGTTTTATAATTTTTAAACATTTTTTTAATAAACATATAATGTATTATCAGCCCCAGGGGTACAGATCTGTGAATCATCAGGTTTACACACTTCACAGCACTCACCATAGCACATACCCTCCCCAATTTGACATGTTTTTTTTTAAAGATTATATTTATCTGAGAGACAGAGAAACAGCAAACATGAGTAGGGGGAGGGGCAGAGGGAGAGGGAGAAACAGATGCCCCACTGAGCAGGGAGCCTGACTCAGGGCTGGATCCCGGGACCTTGAGATCATGACCTGAGCCAAAGTCAGACATTTAACTTAACTGACTAAGCGACCCAGGCACCCCTTGACAAATTTTATTAATTTTAGTAACACCTGAATTAATTATAAACACTGGCATTATATTTTGTAAATATTTTTTCCCAATTGCTGAAGTTTTTATTTTTTTATAGATTTAATTTATTTATTTGACAGAGAGAGAGACAGCACAAGTAGGCAAAGCAGCAGGCAGAGGGAGAGGGAAAAGCAGGCTCCTCGCTGAGCAGGGAGCCCGACATGGGGCTGGATCCCAGGACCTGGGATCACGACCTGAACCAAAGGCAGTGCCTTAACTGACTGAGCCACCCAGGTGCCCCCAACTGCTGAAGTTTTTAATTATGATTTTTCATACTATAAAAATTCATTTATACAAATGTCAAATTTGTGTGCCATTAAATCCCTCCACTGTATTTACTATACAGTACATAATAATTTTATGTTTGCCTCATTGCATCTGAAATTTTAAATATATACATTTAGCCTATTTTAACATTTCTGGGTTTTCAATTTGGCTCTATACCCATTACCTTTGAAACTCACTGAAGTGTAGAGTCTGGACACTGATGAGAAGAGCCTGTACTGGCAGACTGCTTCCTATACTATACTTTGAGTCATGTCTGTGGACATGTCCTTGGCCTAAATATTAGGGATGAACACTAACCATATACAAAAATGAAAGATAGGGGCGCCTGGGTGGCTCAGTGGGTTAAAGCCTCTGCCTTTGGCTCAGGTCATGATCCCAGGGTCTTGGGATTGAGCCCCGCATCAGACTCTATGCCTGGCAGGGAGCCTGCTTCCTCCTCTCTCTCTGCCTGCCTGTGATCTCTGTCTGTCAAATAAATAAATAAAATCTTAAAAAAAAAAGATGTAAAAAGTCAATATAAAGAAAGCAATGATTTCATGCACTTAAGACACTTACCAGTACTCTTTGATTCTGCAAAGGTGTTGTACTGAAAAAATCATCATGATCATCTTTTGGCAACTGTTCCAGAAAATCCCTCATTTGCTGCTTCCTTTTAAGAGTTCCCACTTTGGCAGTTATCTTAATAATTTGCTTCTTATCAGCATCAACTATCTTGCCTTAGGAGTCAGCAAAACATTTTGATAAGGATTTGGTCATTTACAGTAACTGCTCTAATTAAGTTAACAGACTTTGTAAAATCTAAATTGTATATTTATATTAAGTAAATGCATCCTCTATTAATACATCTCCTATATAACAGAAGATTCTTTCTGTATTGGGATCTATGCAATATAATTAGCCCACAGAATACTCATGAAGAAACTACGTAAGATCAGCCAGGGTGAGGTGGAAAAGGTCTTTACCCAGTGGGAAAGAAAGGTTACCTCCTACATTCCCTTTGCTGAATGCCTAATTTATTGATTTTGTAAAAAATATAAACCTTATTGAATTAGGACAGGGATAGAATATTTCCAAAGCTTAGTATAAGCTATGTCATAAACCTTGAGCAGGAATGTGTACTCCTGGGGAATATGAAAAATAAATTTAATTTGAATTTTATTATGAATTTCTAGGGGGCCCTAACCAAGTGGCCTCAAATTAGACTCTTAGAAAAATAAACCAGATACTGAAATCTCTGGATCTAACTGGAGATTTTCTAGAATAAATTCAAAGCATAAGGCTGCTAAGGCTACTATTGATGGGATTAACTATCTACATAAGACTTAAAAAAATTCAACAGATGATCTTTAGAATTCTTTCTAGGTATAAAATTTGGAGAAAATACCTGTAAGATGACAATACAAAGATAAATATATCTAGTGAGTGACTAGAAATCAATACTGAGAACTAGGAAAAAAACAATTTACAAAGGTTACCATTTTGGCCTTTGGGACTGACTGTTTTTTTCTTAGTGACAGGTTTCTGGGATCCTTTTTCTCTGGGATCTTCCATGTATTTCCTCTGGCATTCTTCAGCAGATCGAGAACCTACAGCCATAGCTACATCTGACCAGAAACCAGGTTTGTGCTTTGGAAGAGATGCAAAAGCACTACAGAAGACCAAAACCAGTTGAAGAACAAGAAATTCAAATTAATAAAAACAACTTCCTGAATGGATACCACTAAACCAATGAGACTTACTGAGCTAAAGGAATTTTAACCAAAACCATTCTAGATAACTGGGAAGAAGAAACTATTTCTTCCATTCAGTAACTTAAGTGTTTAAAATATGAAGATGTAATTTTACATATTTGGTAGGTATCTTCTATTTTGTTGTATTCTATGAAACCTGAAATTCATCTCAGGTCTCTCAACATCTTTTTCCTAAGTCTAACTATCAGTGATCTGATCTTCTGGGGGACTCTAGCATGACTAATCTTACTGGTGCTAAGTATATTGGAGAATGAGCTCTTAGTTGCTATATATTCTCAAGTTATAAATTCTTATTAAAAAGTGTTATTCTTGCTCTCATTCTATCATAATTTACAGAATACAATATTTTATATATAAATGAGGGAAATAAAAATTGAAAGAAAAAAAAAGCTGTCAATATAAGGTAGTCACCAAATTTAATAAATGAGTTATATTCTGAAAGTTTATTTGTAAATATTTAGAAACTGGTACACATATTTCTGCTTTCCTCCCCCGCCCAAATAGATTTTACATATTGTGGTTAAGCTGACAGTTCAGCCAGAAAAGATCTACTTAACTCATCAATTAACCTATACAGCATTATGCTGGTAAATTTTAAAAACCAGCCCTCTGGGATTAAAAAGTCCTTTATTCATAGGGTTTTGCCAATTTCCATATGGTAAATACCTCTATTGTGGCTGATTTTAAGCTACCAACATAATGTCCCTGAATGTGCAGTAAGAAATGTGTGATAAGACACAATTATACAGGATTTCCACCATATAGATATAATTGATGTAAAGAACCTTAAGGCATAGACAGTAATAATAAAATGCAGTAAAATAATTAGGAAATAATGAGTTTCGGGTATTACTTAATAAATTTAATTGTAAATCTATATGAATCAGCTCTTGTGAAAGGACAAGTTGACTATAGAATACTACTCACTCCGTGCATAAAAGGAAGACAAATACTTACAAGCATTAAACACTAACGAATGCTCCACTTTTTGCACAGTTAATCATTCCACAGGTGTTCTAAAGTGAAGAACTAAAAGGATTGGGAGGCTCAGGCTTCCCTATTGTGTACATCGTTAGTTTGCAAGTGTAGAACTGCCAGGACTATTTTTCATAATAAAAATACTTAATGCATTTAATTAGTCTATAATTAACACATCTCTACTTTATCCCAGATAATGTTAAAAAGCAAATATAATGTCACTCCAATCCTACTTAAAACTTGCTTTTATAAGTGACAGGGAGAAAAATATAACTTGTTTATAACTCACTAGCATAAAAACCAAAGTATTTACTATGACTTTCACACTGTTGTCTCTTTTATCTCATTTTGTATTGCTCTACCCTCATTTTCTGTACTCTGATCATTTTGGCCTTCTTTCAGTATTTGTAAATACGCTTTCTTCCTTTCCACTTTTATTTTACTGTTTTATTTAAAATGAATTTATCATGAAAATTTGGCTTAAATAATTTTTGTCTTTCAGATCTTAGTTCAAGTATCTGCTTAAGCTAAGTCAGATTACCCTGATATACTTTCATAAACCTCTTAAGAATAATTACTTCCTAACTAGGTTATAAGCGTGATGAGGAGTACAAAACAGTGGGATGCAACTAAGAATCACTTGAGGAGGTTACATCAAATGTACAAGCAAGCAAATGTTATTAAAAGAAGCAAATAGATTCACAGACTCTACCCCTAAAGATTTCAATTTAGTAGGTTTACAGTGGCAACACTTTGAATTTTTCAAAAGATCCTCAGGTGATTGTTGTGCTATGCAGTCAGGATTGGAATTGCTTTATGTTCTAAGAAGCATTAAGTATTATACCTAATTAAGAAAGAATCATTATATATAGTTAAGTGGGGTAGTAGGAATAAGTGATGACAAAGAAAGATGACAGGAAGGAGTGACTGACATGTGAGATAAAAGGATGGATTGAAGGATGGATAAAATACAACAGGTGAAAATATGGCAACAGTATTGGCAAAGAAATGAAGATGAGGAGACAGGACGCAAAGTTAGGGAACAGAAAGTAGTCCGTATTTGTAGTATGGTAAATTTCAAAGGCATGGCTGGGATTAGAGCTTTGCGGAAAAAAAAAAAACAAACCTAGAAAAGCAGAGCCCAAACCCAAGCCTGCCATATCTAAATATTTTAAGAGTATGCAGTATAGGCGCCTTAACATTTTTTTTCCTAAGTTAACGTAGTAAAATTGTCTTTTTGGATATGGTTTATGAATCTGAAAAAATATAAAGACTTGTATAACCATGATCACAATTAGGATACATAATAGTTTCATTACACTGAAAAAAATTCCTAGCGCTTCCTCTTTGTGTCCACCACTATAACCACTGGCAATCATTGATCCGTTTTCTTAGTTTTGTCTTTCCAGAATGGAATTATACAGGATGTAACCTTCTGAGCTGGCTTTTTTTTTCCCCATTCAGCATGCCTCTGAAATTCATTCAGGTTGTTACATCATCAGTAGTTCTTACTTTTTATTACTCAGTAGTCTATTCATTCTAAGAGTGTACCATGACTCATTTATGTGGTAAGTTCCACAGAAATCAACAGAGAGGAGCTCTACAAAACCACCCCATGAAGTTGTTTGTGAACTTCTGTGCTCACACCACAAATTCTGATATCTTTTCATTTCTGTTCAGTTCAGTATCTTTTCTCCCCCAGATCTCTTCCTCTTTGACCCATGGATTATTCACAAGTGTGTTATTTAAATTTCAACTGCTTGGAAATGTTCCTGTTAGCCTTCCTTTATTGACTTGTGGTTTAAATCAACTATGGTCAAAGAACAAACACCCTATGGATGACTTCAGTTATTTTAAATTTGTCAAGATGTTTTTATGACCTAGTCAATGTTCAATCTAGGAAATGATCCACCTATCCTTGGAAAAAAAATGTACTTTTCCCCCTATTTTGGGTAGAGTGTTCTATAAATGTTGATTAGATAGTTGGCTGATGGTCAGTTCTTCTGTAGCCTTGCTAACTTTTTGTCTACTAGTCAATCAACTGCAACAGAAAAGCACTGAAGTTTCCAACTGTAAATGTGGTTTTACTTATCTTTTCAGTTCATTCATTTCCTTTTAGTTCTCTGATTTTGATTCATGTATTTTGAGGGGTTTTTTTGGTTAGATGCATATATATTTAAGATTGTTGTCTTCCTAGTAATTGATATTTCTCTAATTTTGTAATGTTCTTTATCCTTGATAATTCTTGGCACTAAAATCTTTGACAGGTTTTAGTATAGCCACTTCAGCTAAGAGTTACCATGGTATTTTTCTGTCTTTCCACTTGTAAGTTACCTATTCACCTTTGAAGTTCTCTTACATGGCACTATAGCAGGGATGTTTTTAAATTCATGCTGACAATCTGTCTTAAATGGCGCATTCAGACCACTAACATAATTATATTTGTATTTAAATAATTTTATTAGCTGTCTGCTTTGTTCTGTTTTCTATTTCTCTATTTCTCCTTTTCGGTCTTCTTTTGGATTAAAATTTTTTTAAGTATTGTATCTATAATGTATATTTGAAAATACCTCTCTATAGTTTCTTAGTAGTTGCTCTATGGATTACTACAAACATAATCATCTACTTAGAATGAATATTTTATTGCTTCGAGTAGAATAGAAAATTTACCATAAGTCTCTTCATCCTTTCTCTCTATATATTGTTGTTTTATGTATTAAATTTCATATCTTCAAAACTCCACCATACAATGTAATATTGGCTATCAACCATTAAACATTTTAAAGAATTCAAGAAAACAGTCTGTTGTTTTTACCCAGATAGTTACCATTTCTCTTGTTATTCCTTCATTTCTGATATCGACTGCCTCCTTTGTCATTTCCATTCTGTTCCTGAGCCTATCTACTAAGTTTTTTATTTTGATTATTCTATTTCCCAGTTCTAAAATTTTCATTTAAGCCTTTTTGTCTTCTATGTCTGAGATTTTCTGAATTTCTGTTCAAGAATGGTTGCTTTTAGTTCCTGGAGCTTTTTAAAAATTTTTGACTAAAGAATTCTGTGCCTTTATTGGCCGAACAGGCTACATGAGAGGCATGACGCAGGAGGAGTAGGTGGCTCTGATGCCAGGCCTGCAGTGCTTCACAAGCTTGTAGGTGGTAAAGAACTTGCCCAGGTAGTGGCCAATCATCTCCCGCTTGATTTCCATCTGGTTGAAGGTCTTGCCACTTTAGACACCCCCCCATTGCCCACCATCTTGGGCATGGTGATCATGTCCTGCAGGAGCACCTCGGGACTATGCCATGGCGAGGGAGCTTCCTTCTTGGTCTTGCACAGGTGCCCCAGCAGTGAGTATGGCTTCTCCCACAAACTCGCTTCACCTCCGCTGCGGCTGGGCACCGTACATCTGCATCAACCTCCTAGGACTGTATAGCAGCTGGTCAAGGTCTGCGATGCCATAGGTGAACTTGCAGAAGGTGCGCTTCTGCTGTTCCACATCCGCTATCTTGTCAGCTCTTGGGAAAGCCTCCTGGACAATTTTAATACACCTGCTTTGGAATCTTTTCAGATAATTATAACATCTGTGTCATCTCAGCATTAGCATTTTTTTTTTTTAATAAATCGAAATTTTCCTGTTTCTCTGTATACTGAGTAATTCTGGACTATTTCCTAGGCATTTTGAAATACTGTAAAACTCTTGGTCATGTTTATCTATGGAAAATGCTAATGTTTTTGTTTTAGCAGGCAATCTGGTTGTAACCTGAGCTATAAATTCCAGTCAGTCTTTTGTGGTAGTAGTTTCAGTATGTTCTATTTTTAAAGCTTTGTAGTGCTATTAAAATATCCTGTGTAGGGGATACCAAGTGGCTGGCTGGCTTAGAAACTGGGTGACACTCTACCTCTCAGTTCAGTTGTCAGTCTTGGGTATACGGTTTAGTATCAGATCCTCACATCTGCAACTCAGGGGTGAGCCCAAAAGTTCATAAACAACTTTATATAGGGTTGTTTTCCCTAGCTCCTCCCTTTGCAATTTTTAGTTCCCCAGGATTCCTGTTTTTGGTTCTCTGGCAGAAACCTAGGGCTTTAGTTACCCAGCTCTGCAGTACACTTCATACAACTATCTTTCTGCAGTGCCAAGCACAAAGGACAGAAAGAGAAAAATGCCAACATAGGTAGCTCTACCTTTTTCTTTCATGACCTGAGCTGAAGGCAGACACTTAACTGACTGAGACATGAAGGAACCCCAGTTGCCCTACCCTTTTGAGACCTATATGTAACTGGAGGAAGGTTTCCCACTTTCAGAGTTTTAGGTCCGTGTGGGACCCACATGCTGCTGTGATTTTCACCCTTGCAGGATTGGGGACTGTGACTGATATAAGGGAAAGGGGACTGTGATTGATATAAGGGAAAGGAGAAAAGAAAAAGAGAACTGGGGGACTTCTTCTACTGTTGCCGAGTGCTAGTAGTCCCTTTTCCTTCTCCCCAAGCCAGAAGTGGAGGGCTTTTCTTTGAACTCTTAGTCATGCCTCAGTGCCCACTTCTACATGTTAAGTGGCCTTAATCTAGGTTAAGGAACACCAGAGGGAAAACTAGAAATATGTCCTCACTTCAGTGGTACTTAAAATTCTAGTCTTTCCAAACCAGGCTGCTACTATTTAGCTTCTTGAGTCAACAAAAAGCTGTTCCATGCATTGTTCATAGTTGCACACAAAAAAACACTAGAATGTGCTTTCCTTGTCTTTTTGGGAACTGGAATCTTAATTTCATTTTTTTTAAATTTTTTTTTTAAGATTTTATTTATTTATTTGACAGAGATTACAAGTAGGCAGAGAGGCAGGCAGAGAGAGAGGAGGAAGCAGGCTCCCTGCTGAGCGGAGAGCCCGATGTGGGGCTCGATCCCAGGACTCTGAGATCATGACCTGAGCCGAAGGCAGAGGCTTTAACCCACTGAGCCACCCAGGTGCCCCTTTTTCATTCTTAATGAAATTCTTAATTTCATTAAAATAATCATAGATGAAATGGATATAGAGTAAAGGTTGAAAACTGTTACGGTAACAAAATGATGGGATACAGCTGGAAAGGATAAAGTAAAAGTACTGTATGCTGTCACTGCAAGACAGAAGGATCTCTATATAATTTGAAGATTAGTAAGAACGCAGGGCAGGTTTCTGATGTTAGAAGCACAGCATTACATTACATTAAAATTAATCTGGAGATACATAAAACAGATTACGCAGATGCAAACAACAAAGTAAAAATACAAAGCTACTTCCATAGTTCAGGCAGGCATAAGGAGTCTGAAAAAGAGTAGTGTGAAGAGAAAGAGTGCAGATGGAATGATCCTGTGGAAAAATCTATAGCTCCTTGAGAACTCCTCTGATTTAAAACCAGAATCAATTAAACACAGTTGATGGAAAGAATTACATTTTCAGAATCAGGAATGTCAGGCCAAGTAGACTGGCAGGGGAAAATAAGTTTAGTTTTTGACATATTATGTTAGAATCTCTGTCTGTGAGATTTATGAAGAGATGCCCAACAGGCAAAGGGAAACACAAATATTTTTTTTTAAGATTTTATTTATTTATAAGAAAGAAAGAGAGAGAAAAAAAAACACAAGTGGGGGGAGGGTCAGAGGGAGAGGGAGAAGCAGGACCCAGAATCATGACTGAGCCCAAAGCAGATGTGTAACCAACTGAGCCAACCAGGTGCCCTATGGGAAATAGAAATCTAAATACAAGAATTCAGGACTAGGGATACAAATTTGGGAATCCCTGTTCAAGAGTAAAGTTAGAACTATGGAAGGAAAAGATCACTGAAGACTACATTATCTTAGCAAGAAAGCACCCAAAACAAAGAACTTTGGAGAAGAAGGAAAATTCTCTGCCTGAAAATAAGAGAAGGAACATTTAGGAAAATGAAAGAGAAGGAACACAGTAGCACAGATTTCAAGAACAGTGTTTCAAGAAGGTAGATCTGAAAATGAATTCCAAATATTACAAGGTTAGGGAGCACTCAAGCAAATGAATCACCGATTGTGGTGTTTCTATCTTCTCTCTTACCAATCACATCTTCCTTTCTTTCTACTAGATCATTCCCATCAGCTCACCACCATACCGAGTCCTCTTACAAATAAGCAACCAAACACACATCTTCCCTTATATTCACACTCTTCTATTACCTATTTTTTTGTTCCCTAACACTGCCAATTTCTTGTGTTATCCACCTAGGTTGTCTTTACTCTCTCATTCACTCTCCATTGCTCAACTATGCTCTAGCTTCCAATGCTACTGCACTACTCAAACTGCTTGCCAAGTGTATGTAGCTAAATCCAATTCTTGTCATATTTGGTTTATTAGCAGCACTAACCATGAAACCTTGGATGGATCACCTAATTTCTAATTTCTACTTTGTAAATGCAGGGGAAAAAGACCATATTAAATAAACTGCAGGTCTGAATTCAGCTTTAAAGTTTTATAATTATAAATTTAACTAAAAAATATTTCTTAAACTATGATATAAGACAGCAGCATTTCTCTGTTAAAGTATTTTCCCCACCTTAATAAAATTGTATAAAGTGTACATGGGATCACTTAATATGCATGTTCAGTGTGAAATGACAACCACAATCAAGTTGAATTACACATCCACCCCCTCACATAGTTACTCTTTTCTTGAGGGGGAGGGTAGCTGTCTTGAAACATTAAATGGGAAAGAAAGGAAGATTAACCTTTTTTTTTGTTGTTCATATGGAAGCTGTGGCCAACTATGGCCACAAAGCACATAGTTGGAAGTCATCTGGATTCTCCCTCCATTCTTTGTATAAATTTCTCTCCATGTGTTTTTGGATATCTTCCATATTAATGATTAGAGGTCACTCTAATCATCAGCTCTTTATTGGAATTTTTACATCTTCAACTGTTTTGTGGCCACGCTAGATATTTTAAAGTCAAACCTAATTACTTACCAATGAAGTTTCTGTAATTCCTTCTCATTCCATTCTTCATCCTGAATTATACCAGGAAAACATTCAAAGGAATGCCTATTTGTCTCATTAGAGCCCACTGCCTCAATAATTCGAGACTTATTCCTAATACCAGCTTTCTGAAGATTTTCTTTAGCAGAACATCTAGCTTTCTTTTGTTTGATATAAAATTCACTTTCACTTTCTTCAGTTTCAGATTCAGAAATCACTGGGATTTTCCTTGTGGTGGTTCTTGCGTTTTTCCTTAGGTGAACCACTGTTTCTTTGGTATTCCTTACTCTGGTTTTCTTAGCAATTTCAGCTTTCTTTCTAATTCGCTTTTCTGTTTCGCTCTCTTCACTAGACAAATCTGATGAAGACTGATGCTCATAAAATGACATAGATGCCTTTTTTATTTTCTTCAATGTTGGTAACAACCTTGTATTTTTCTTAAAATCGGAGGTGATCGTCTTTTCCTTTTTAGGATGAGATACTTTGATTTTCTGGTTGACAGTGAGCAAATCACATTCATTGCAATCTTCCTTGTTTTTATTTTTCTGATCCACACTATACTCAAATGCATTTTTTAAGGTCTTTGTGGGCTTACTGATCAAATGTGCAGTTCCATTTAAGTCTGATTTACTTTCTTTCTGATGATTTGGCACTGCAAAATCTGTTACTGCTTTAATGGTGCCACAGGACAGATTATACTTCATGCATTTTTGTTCTATCACTTTTTTAGACTTAAGTGGTGTCACTAAAATATAAGCTTCCTTCTGATTAAGAGCCATACATTTTCTTTCTTTGTCCGAGAAAAACAGTTGTCTTGAGGTTAGAATGTCAATGGATACATTCGATTCTTCAGTTCTCTCTTTAATTTCATAAGACAAAACCAAACATCAAAATCTCAAATTAGCTACAAAATAAAGCACAGAATTTTTTTTCTAAAATAAAACATATTTTTTCCCATAAACTCCAATGTACACATTACTGTCATTACTAGTCTTCCTGAAGCACCAGTCTGTTCAGATTATTGCCCCTCAATTGTAAACATATTTTTTATACCAACCAGTCTGTGACTTCCTACAGTCTACTTAGTGTACACATAAACTCCTCTGTCTGGCCTTGAATGTAGTTCTGATCTCTCACTGTACTCAAATCTGAACTATATTCTTTGTCTACTGGACTACTATTTCTCCCCATTTTCTTGATTTTCAATTTTCACTATCATTCTACTTGGAAAGTTTTCTTTACTCACAAACCAAATCACTACTTGCTTTAATTCCATTCTCTAATCCACCTCATCCACAAACTTTGTCTGATTCCCTCAAGTGAATGAGAAGTTCTCCTTCAAATTTCCAGAATACTTTTAAATAATATGTTTGACAATGTGCCCTGCATTATAAATATACAAACTTGTCTTATCTTTGACTGCAAAAAAATCCTTAATAGTGAGAATTTTATCTTCATTTTTAGATTTAATGTACCATTTTACAAGATGAATGATAAAATAAAGACTGATGAGTAATGTTGGATGCTGGGGAGAAAAGAAGCCACTAAATTATAATTCATGAAGAAGTGGTACTAATTAAAAGTAATCAAAGTTTTTAAAAGTAATCAAAGATTACTAATTAAAAGTAATCAAAGATTTCTCAATGGATCATCTATCTTCCTGACGGAAGTGTTTTCTTTTAATTCCTCACATAAATCTGACTCAAATGTTCAACTGGCAATTTGAAATTTTTGAGCTTTCTAATTTTAAATAAAATACTTTTGTTCTGAATATTTTTATTCATTTTATTAAAATAATCTGAATAAAGATTCATCCTATTCTGGATACTTTAACCTAAGTCACATGATCCTGATAGTCTTTAAACATTTAATAAATGTTCTTCACTTTCACTTCCTTTCACTTATGAAATAAAATAAAGATGCTACTAAGCCGATGGATTTAACTCAACATGAAATCTGAAACTTGCTAATGTATAGAGAAAAGACTCTTTAAATTCTGGTATGCAGGATTTCAAAGAAATCATACCGAAAATTGACACACATAGCTAAATGATGGCATTAATTTCATAAAAAGATTCATAGTCTTTAAACATTTCTTTTAAATGTAAACCCAGTAAACTTATATCACCATGAACATTCCAAAAATCATATTTAAAATAATGGATAGCTCTGTTATTTAAAAAAAAATTATGGGTGCCTGGCTGGCTCAGCTGTTAGAGCATGTGACTCTTGATCTCAGGGTTATCAGTTTGAGCCCCATGTTGGGTGAATAGTTTACTTAAAAAAAAAAAAAAAGGTTAAAAAAATAAATAAATAAAAATTATTTAATATCTAGATTAAGGAAGGGAAACCTACAAGTAAATATGGTATGTAAGGTAATAGATTATTTTATTATGCGAATTATGTTACATAGAAAAACAATACTTTATTGTACATCTAAAACTAGTAACATTGTATGTTAATTATGGTTCAGTTAAAGAAAAAAACTGGTATTCTAAAAAAACACCAAAAAAAGCCCCCGACACTTATAACCATTGTAATACTTCATTTACCACTTTAGATTTGGAAATTTTGAGATCACTTTTACTATATATTTAATATAACTTTATTATATATTTAACATAATATTATATAGTATTATTATATTAAAAACATTTCAAATAAGAGTTATCTGCTTATTATAAAATCAATAAAGATATAATACCTTGCTTCTGACTTTTAATTATCGTTTCATCTGCTCTTTCACAATTTTCAAGTTTCTTTGAAGACACGTTTTCATATTCTTTCTTCCCATTTAATTCCTTCAAAACAAAAAAATAGCTTTTTATTTTAACAACTACTACCTATAAACAGGACCTCAAGTATTTTCACAGTATGTATCAAGCATGCAAATATCTAGGTACTTTTAGTTCTACAAATTTCATTAATGGAGGCATTCAGAAACTCATTTGCCAGAGCTTGAGTTTTGGAATCACCATGTGGGTATCAACTATCTTAGATATTTCCTATAATGATTTAATACCTGTGATATGTCAAGTGCATATACAAACACACATACACACACACACACACACACACATACTTTATTTAAGCATTACTCTAAGAGCTAAACTTTGTTTTATTGACTTCACTTTTCCAATGAGGCACAGAGAAAATAAGTATCAAGACATTGTCAAGGCTGGTATTTAACAGAATTCATGATTTCTGATTTGGTTCTGAACATTTTTAGTAGCATCACACCACCACTCTACATATCACAGTGTACAGTAAAAGCTTACCTCATTAGATAAGCCATTTCCTCCTCCATTTTGAAAAGTATTATTTACTTGGTCATCTGGGAGCCTTAATGGTGGTTTATTTTGGCAATTACCATGGCACACGTTTAATTCTGTGGCTCCTGGCAACCTACGGCGCTTACTATTTTTCACTTCTATGTGTACAAAGATGGAGATATTAACAAATTATTAAACAGAAGATAAACTGCCTTTCCACATTAAAGAATTCACTTTCAAGATATGTTATCTAGAAAGAGTAGTAAATTAATGTTCATACTTTTTTTCCAGCAGGAGAGAGGGCAGGATATGAGGCAGATTACAGTTTTGGCAAAGAGGTGATGCAACAGTTCTGTCAGCTACCTTATAGCAATGGTCACTCAAAAAAACATGCCATTCCCTCCATGGAAGCAAACTGGTTTTGTCTATTAACAAAAATGCAATTTAATATAAAAATATAGGCATCTGTAATATAGGTCCAAGGTGGGTTGGTAACCTAAATACTTAAGTCTAGGAAAGTGAAAGAAAATCACCTTTCATTGCCATGTTTATTAGTATTCTTGATTCTGATGAACTAAAACATGATATTTAAAGAAGAAAGCAGAGAATAGACTGCACTGTAGTTTTTCAAGTATTAAAAAATAAGAATTTTAGGGCAGTGCAAGTAAAAAACTAAATACACTATAAACAGTGTAGGTAAAAAAAAGAGCAAACATACCCAAATGACAACAATCAATGTCATAAGTAGTGCTGGCTTTTTGGAGGACATCTGTTTGGTTTTCTCTCGCATCATTTTTTGATGATTTTTGTATATCAGGGACAAATCTTCCCGTTTTCTGTTTTTGTCTGGCCTTTCTCTCTTTCTTTTCACAAGCCCTAAAAACAAGTATAGCATTTTTCCTTTAATATTTGTTCTCAAAAAACAAAAACAAAAAAACTGAACATATAAATAAAGTCCCTCAGATAAAGCTCCTCTCCCAGCAAAGATTATCTTTAATCTTACATTATTTAAACCTTTATGACTTCTACCTCTTCCCCCACAAAGAACTGAAAGACAACACCTTAAATCAAAAGAATCATAAAACCTTGTGTTTACTACTCTATGCTCTTTCATTTTCTACTTAAGCTAATATTGTAAGAAAATTACAAGACAATATATTGCTGACAGTTGCCTATTTTTGGAAATAAATTTTACTGAAACACTGCCACATTCATTCATTAAAGTACTGTCTATGGTTGCTCTCCTGTTACAAAGGCAGAGTTGAACAGTTGATAGCAGTATGCCCATAAAAATACTTCCTTATCTGGCTCTTCACAGGACCATCCCTCCACCCCAGCATTATAAATTATACAATGGTACTGTGATTAATTAACTTATATCACTGTACCCCCTGTGAGTTCTTTTAATGGCAAGAATTAATAAAATTTTCTTTGCTTTTCCTGTGCCAACACAGCGTCTGCTAAGCAACTGACAATAACTATTGATGGAATGAATGAAAAAGGACCAAGAACTTAACACCCATGTTTAACAGCAACATCCCTCTTAAATGGTGTTTGAATGAGGATGCTCCCTGAAATGTCAAAGGTGTTATTTTCCTCTTAGATTTATTCCATATGACAGAAATTCTAGTAAAATATTACTGCTTTCTAAAAATCCAGGATTAGAGAGAACTTCAAAACTAGCATTCCCTGCCCCCCCGAAAAACAAGTTAAAACCAATTTAATTGATTAAACAGATATATTTGTAAAAGCCCCCCAAATTTTATACCTAAAAATGGGTGCATTTTATCAAATACAAATTATATCTTAATAAAGTTACTTTTTTAAAAATTAAGAAGTACTTTACCTTAATTGTTCTAGAAAATTATCAATATGCTCTTTCCATTTTTCTGGAAAGCCAAACATAAACTTCCTTATGAGGTAATTTGGATATCCTATTTAACAATAAACAAACAAAAATTATCTAAAAGCTGAGAATTTTAAAGACATGTCATTGGTTCATTAGATCATTGAAAAAACACACACTTATTGCTCACTTTGTGCCAGGCACTGCTACAGACATTAAGGATTCAGCAGCTAACAAAACAAAAATTCCTGCCTTCATGGAACTTGACTTTTATTGTGAAAGAGTAAGCAAACCAATAAATAAACATCTTGTTTGTGAGATGGTCACCAATGCTATGGAGAAAAATTAAGCAGTCAGTCAGTGAAAGGATACTAGTATACGTATGCTGGGGGAGGAAGAAGGGTGCAGCATTTTTAAATGAGGTTCTCACTGAAACAGCATCATTTGAGTAAAGCTTTGAAGGACATGAGGGAGTGAGCCATGTGGCAATACGGGATTAAAACACTGGAAGCAAAGGGAACGAAATAAAAGGCTGTGAGGTAAGTGTGTGCCTGGCCTGATGTTAAAAATTAGTATGGTTGGAGAGAAGTGAAAAGAAGCTAGTACTAGGAGACTACTCAGAAGGGAATAGAGGCAGTAGAGGAACATGGAAGATGATAAGGCTTTGGGGTCATTTTATGGGCCTACTCTTTTACTTTGGGTAAGATGGGAAGCTATAGAAAAATCTTGAGCAAGGGAGCCACAGGATTTAACTTGCTTTAACAGGACAATATTAGCTGCTATTTTGAGAAGTCTCTGGAAATACAAGTGAAGAAACAATGAGACCAATTAGGATTCTGTAATGATTCAGACAAAAGATAACGGAGGTCTGGACCACAGAGGTCAGCAGAGGCCTGGCTTCTCAATAAATTATGGAGATAATGCCAATAGGATGTACTGACCCACTAAATGTGGGTGTGAGAGAGACAAGATTCAAAATGCCTTCAAGCATTCTGGCTAGCCACTGGAAATAAGGAAAGAGGGGGAAGACTATTAACATTACCTAAGCAGATTATAGGGAGAAGACCAGGTTTTAGACATACCAAGTTTGAGATGCCTGCAGACATCCTAGTGGAGATGTCAAATGAGCAGATGGAAAATGAGTTGAGTGGCTTGGGGAGTTTTTTTGGTAAGAGATATAAATTCAGCATTTGCTCACCATATAGATGAGATTTATTTATTTTTTTTTTAAAGATTTTATTTATTTATTTGACAGAGAGAGAGATCACAAGTAGACAGAGAGGCAGGCAGAGAGAGAGAGAGAGGAGGAAGCAGGCTTCTTGCTGAGCAGAGAGCCCGATGCGGGACTCGATCCCAGGACCCTGAGATCATGACCTGAGCCGAAGGCAGCGGCTTAACCCACTGAGCCACCCAGGCGCCCCATATAGATGAGATTTAAAGCCTCAAAGAAATAAGCACATCATTGAATGTATATACAAAGAGCTACAGTCTACCCCATATTTATAGGCAAAGAAGAAACAGCAAAATAAGCAAATAAACTAAGAAGGAACAGGGAGAAAGGCAGCATGAAAATCTGAATACAGTGTTCCAGAACGCAAAAAAAGAAGTATTTCAAGGAGGTTAAGTATGAATAACTGTGATAAGCATATACTTGATTTAGCAATGTAGGGGCCATTGGTAACTCCGATAAGGGCTATTTGGTAAAGAATTGTGATTTAAGGCATGATTAAAGAATTTTTTTTTTAAATAGGAAAGAATTCAAGGAATTAAAATCTTCTGAGCTGTTTTTATTGTAAGCAGTAGCTGACATAAGTGGGGTTAAAAGGGTTTTTGTTTTTGACAGGATAAGGGAGAATTACTGGAGTGATATCCCTGAGTAAAAGAGGGAAAATGGAAAGTATGGTACAAATGGAGGTTGACACAGACAGGAACAGTTCATTCATAAACAAAAGCAGATATATATGCAAGCAGGTCAATAGATGTGATGGTAAACTTCTCTTCTGATTGTTTCTATTGCTCATGTGCTCCCCTCCCTCCCCCAGCACCTCTACTGTGAGAGGAAAAAAGAAGGTATTGAAAATTTGTAAAAATATGCAATAGTCATCAAGGAGGATGGGAGAGTGAATGCAATAGGGAAATGTGGTAGAATACCAAGAGACCACAACTTGTTGCTGGTAATCACAAACTTTAAGATACTCAGGTATCTTTTTCTTCAGCCACATTACTGTGTACAAGGCATAGACAGAAAATTAGATAACAGGACTGGGGTTGTGCTGGGCAGGTTCAACAAACTAGGAAGCTAAATTATAGCTTTATAAAGCAGTTCCTCACACAACAACATTTCACTTGACTTTTTAAAAATCACTGAACTGGGGCGCCTGGGTGGCTCAGTGGTTAAAGCCTCTGCCTTCGGCTCAGGTCATGATCTCAGGGTACCGGGATTGAGTCCCGCATCGGGCGCTCTGCTCAGCAGGGAGCCTGCCTCCTCCTGTCTCTCTCTGCCTGCCTCTCTGCCTACTTGTGATCCGTCTGTCAAATAAATTTAAAAAAAAAATCTTAAAAAAAAAAATCACTGAACTTATTTAAACTGTTATTAAGGGTGATTAAATCAGAGAAAAATAGTCAACACATATAATAAATAGTTTTACATAATGTGGCCAACTGTTTTAATTTTTTGTTTTGATTGATCCATAATTTTAAAACACCTAAGAACAAAAAAAAAATAGGTATCACTGTTAGAAATATGGTTAATTGATTCATTTAAAGAAATTTATAATGATAGTCATTACCTGCTTCCTTCATGGAAATCCGATCTATCATCCCTTTTAATATGTAAATATTGCCTGATAAAGTCCTAAGTTTGTTGTGCTTAATCCGTTCTATAATGACATTACTGTGCCAATATATGTTAGTGATGTCTCTAGGAGAAAATTAAAGGCCAAAATATTCACATTTTACCAGCAATCACAATTTACATATGTAACTATACAAACTTATAATAATAAAAAGTAATAAATTTGCACTCTACAAACATTTAGCAATATTATCCATTTAATTATAAACATCTGAGGGCCAAACATTGCAGCAGAATTCAACTGCCTGGCTAATGTGATCCTCAGAGTATGTAACAAGAAACTGTACTGTGTCCAAACCAAACCACTAATATAAAATTTATCATTAGCAAGGAAGCAGGGGCCTTCTCTAAATGGTGCTGACAATGCTTGCAACTTCATCTTAACTGATGCCAAGTTTCTGAAGAATGTTTTCCTGTCCCTCTCGTCAGGGCTTATACTGTGTTAGCTTTCATGCAGTTACATAGTTTGGATTCCCCTAATCCTGTGAGTACTTTTTGTCTTTTTACCCTCACTACCCATCCAAGTATTTTTACTTTCCTTTTTGAAAATACCAAAAAAAGGAAAAAAAAAACAAACTGCAAGATCAAATCACTAGCCCATATATCTACCCTTCGTATTTCCTTAAATGAAGCTAGGAATATAAAACAGAAAGAAAATATAAAGATGTATTAGATAAATGTTGAACATTCCCAATTCATCAGGTAACTAGTAATAAACACACTAATTTTTTTTTCAAAGACTTTATTTATTTATTTGACAGAGATCACAAGCAGGCAGAGAGGCAGGCAGAGAGAGAGAGGAGGAAGCAGGCTTCCCGCTGAGCAGAGAGCCCCATGCGGGGCTCGATCCCAGAGCCCTGAGATCATGACCTGAGCTGAAGGCAGAGGCTTTAACCCACTGAGCCACCCAGGCACCCAACACACTAATTTTAAGGGTAATATGATAGTTAAGTTCCTTTCATTTGGTCAAATGGGACTAACCTCAGACATATTTTAATACAGTGATCCTGTGCTTTTTTGTTTCATTTTACTTAACATTTAAATAGCACTCCAAAAGCACTGTTCTCAAGTCTCACAAATATTAACTATTTTAATATTCAAAATAACCCAAAGAATAGGTAATATTATTATTATCATTGTGCAGATGAAGAAACTGAGACTGATAAAGGATAATAAGGTGCCCATGTCATATAGCTGGTAAGGCAGCAGGAGTGCAATTCCAACACAGACCACCTCTTTGACATTAAGGACATCGGCCCAAGACAAGCAGAAATAGAATGGGCAAGACAGATTTTAAATAAGTAACTTACAAACTTCTAGGTGAGTACCCTGAACAGTGAGTGATATTTTATTTTATGACAACCTTTTATTACAATTTTTTTTAACCACTAAGAAACTGGTTTTGAAAAAGAGAAAATGGTGCTAATAGAGTAGCAAAATTAGGCAAAGTCCACTCACCTGATGACGCTTTTGCTTTAGGGAGAACCAGAGAGTGCCAATGATTATTTAATATGTAGTTGTATGGCAAAGTGTTAAATAATTCTGATTCCTTTTCTGGATCAGTAATTTAGATCTGGTTGTCCCAATTTAGATGTGAGAATCTGGACTGAAATGCACATAGTAAATATTAACTACCCATATAAAATTAAGCAGAGAACACCAGTCCACTTAATAGAAGCTCTTTAAAATATAAAGCAACATGAGGGGCACCTGGGTGGCTCAGTGGGTTAAAACCGCTGCTTTCGGCTCAGCTCATTATCTCAGAGTCCTGGGATCCAGCCCCACAACAGGCTCTCTGCTCAGCGGGGAGCCTGCTTCCTCCTCTCTCTGCCTGCCTCTCTGCCTACCTGTGATCCCTGTCTGTCAAATAAGTAAATAAAATCTTAAAAAAAAAAAAAGGCATTGTGTATACAAATTTGAGTTGTTACTATTCTAAAAGGAACTTAACAGGCAAAAACAAGAAATCTGGTTATAATCAACATGGCCAGCTTCTGCACAGTCCTTTTACTTTTCTGGCTTCAGTTTGTAACCTTGTTACAAAGTCTTTGTTTTGTAGGAAGATGCATCTCTTTCCAGCTCTTATATACTTATAAATTTTATTAAAATACTGAAATGTTATACTTACGTCAATTTTCCTTCTACACATATAGCGGTATTATTATTTATGATTTTAATCATCCATTCTTGTAGCTGGACCACCTATCAGCATAAAATGAAGTATATATTTCCTCTGTTACTTGTAGCAAAAACATTACAAAATCAATTTACATCATATAAAAAGAAAAAACTCATATACTTAGTGCTCATCTATGTAAGAACCACATTCTATTTTAAATAGTAACAAGGTAAAGACTCTCATATACAATGAAAACAGAAAAGAGGAAGATTGGAAGTTGTACTGCATAATTTTTTGTCCAATCCAGAATCAGTTCTACGTCAAATATTCTTATATCAAATATCTCAACCACTGGAGAAAAAAAAAAAAATCACCTAAAATTCTAAGGTATCCAATAAAGACAAAAGACCTGACTTATATAAGAGTCAGCTATGTAGTATATACTCCACCATCATTCTTATCCTAAAAAAATATAGCATTTTTTTTCTGCAAATTTGGTTTTGAATTGTATTTAATTTTCTTTAAACTACAAAGGTGATTACTAATAATCTATATTTCACAGCAGTCTAATCCAGAGCAAATATCTAAACAGCTCAGAGAATTATTTTAGGACAAAATCCTACTGTAGAGGAAAATTTCTGTGATGTGTGTGTTGAGAAATTGCTTCTACCATGTAACAACACTAAACTATTTCTGATGAGAAATTCAGCAAAAGTCATAACTAATTTGAGTAGCCATTTAGTTTACATACAAAAAATTATAAATTTATGAAGACAAGTTCTTCAGTGGTAGTTTTATGGTGAGCCAGAAAAAGATGCTAAAATGGAAGGTCCTTCTATTTATTGCACTTTTCCTCAGTTATGTTTATCTTTATTTTATTTTTTCCTCAATTACAAATAGGCAATGAAATTCCTTTTTCATTTTTAATACTTGGACATTTGGAACTATCTAAGATCAAGGACAGTCAGATGGAGATGATGTTAAAAATAAAAAATAAGGGACATCTGGGTGGCTCAGTCATTAAATGTCTGCCTTCAGCTCTGGTCATGATCCCAGGGTCTTGGGATGGAACCTGGCATCGGGGTTCCTGCTCCACGGGAAGCCTGCTTCTTCCTCTCCCACTCCCCCTGCTTGTGTTCCCTCTCTCGTTGTATCTCGCTGTCAAATAAATGAAATCTTATAAAAATATTTAAAAAAAAATAATACTAGGCAATGTTCCAAGTATTTTAGATTCAATGACTCATGTTATCCTCATAACAAGAGGAGGCAGGTAATATTTTCCTCATTTTATAAAGTAACTGTAAAGTCAAGTTAAATAACTTGCCCATGTCACACATAGCTAGTTAGGGGCACAGATTGGTTACAAATCTGGGAATTCTGGCTCCAGAATCTTGTACCATCCTGCTTACATAAAATATCAAAATGAGGGGCGCCTGGGTGGCTCAGTGGGTTAAAGCCTCTGCCTTCGGCTCGGGTCATGATCCCAGAGTCCTGGGATCGAGCCCAGCATCGGGCTCTCTGCTCAGCGGGGAGCCTGCTTCCTCCTCTCTCTGCCTGTCTCTCTACCTACTTGTGATCTCTATCTGTCAAATGAATAAATAAAAAAATCTTTAAAAAAAAAATCAAAATGTGCATTCATATTCATTCAGCATATTCTTGACCTGTACTATATGCCAGGCACTATTAGGCAGTGGGATTCAGCAAGAAACAAAATGGCTGCCCTATTACAGCAAACACTGGTGTGTGTGTGTGTATGCTACTGTGCGCTCACAGGGGCTGAGGGGTGGATATGTAGAAGCAAGTGGAGTGGTGGTGGTTATATCCAAACAAATGGACAAATAATGTCTGGCAGTGATAATTATCAAAAATAAGTACAAGACATGCTTACTTATATATGATAGGGAAGGTCTTGGAACAGAAAACTGAGTAAAGTAAGGGATAGGACATATGGGTTACCTGGGAATACATTCTTCCAGGCAAAGGGAACAAGTACAAAGTCCCCAAGTAGATAGCATAGAGGGCACAGCAGCTTGAATAAGCAAGAAAGCAACAGAGGGGAGTGAGAGATGAGATTAGGCATGTCAAGGATTATGAATTATGTAGAGTCCTGTAAAAGACGGTAAAGGCTTAGGGTTTTCTCTTAAGATAAAAAGATAAAAAGTTACTGGAGGATTCTGAGCAGAGTGGAGACATGATTTAATATTTTAAGGAGTTACTGGGTAGAAAATGAACTGTATAAAGATTCTGCCAGGGCACTTGGGAGACTAGGTTAGCTAAATGTCAGACTCTTGATTTTGGCTCAGGTCATAATCTCAGGGTCATGGGATCGAGCCTTGTGTGGGACTACGTGCTTAGCGAGGAGTCCGCTTAAAGAGTCTCTCTCTCCCTTTCTCCCTTCCCCTGCTTGTGCACATGCTCTCTTTTCCTCTAGGGTAAACAAAAAATCTTAAAAAAAGAAAGAAAGAAAGAAAGAAAGAAAGAAAGAAAGAAAGAAAGAAAGAAAGAAAGAAAAAGAAAAAAAGAAAAAATGGTGATTCTGGCTGTCTGTAAAACAGAATGGAGAGAGAGAACAACAGCGGGGAGCAAGGAGACCATTAAGCTATTATAGTAATCCAAGAATTTATGGTACCCTGGACTAAGGTAGTGATTGAGTAGTGAGAAGTGGCCAGATTCAGGACAGAAGAGCCAACAGGATTTCCTCACAGTCTGGAGTGGAGTATGACAGAAAAACAAGAGTCTCAAACAAATCTGAAATTTTACCCTAAGTTAAATTTGGGGGAATGGTATTACTATGTACCAGTATGGGACACAGCTGAGAGAAGTTTTGGGGGAAGAAATCATTTTAGACATATTAAATCTGAGATGCCTATTAAATATCAATGAAGAAGTCCTATAGACAATTGAATATGTGACTGTGGGGTTTAGGAGAATGTTCTGGACTGGAGATATATATTTAGTAACTATCAGTAAAGAAATGGAATGTAAAGCTACAGCACTGGATAATCCAGTCTTTAGAGTGTGTGCAGGCACTAGAGAATCAGTTTCAAGGACTGATTCTGGGGAATTCCAGTATTATAGATTGTGACAAGAGGAAGGAGCAAACCGGAATGAGAAAAATGGCCAGTGAGACAGTAGAAAATCAAGATTGAGGTATCATCAAATTCAATAGAAAAAACAATACAATGTTTTAAGAAGGATGTTTTGATTCACTGTGTTAAACCCTTGTCCACAACAGAATAATAAGAAATAATAATTACTGGTTTGGTAACATAGAGATCACTGGTGAACCTAAAAAGGGCAATCTTCACAGAGCGATTTATGAATGCCCAAAGTAGAATATATTTCAGAAAGAGTAAGAACAAAAACTGTGAATATATATACCTCTATCAAGGTGTTTTACAGTAAATGGAAACAAAAAGATGGGGTTACAGTTGGAATGGGATAGAGAGTAACAGGAAGGTGGACTTTTTCTTTGCATTTTTTTTTTTAATGCAGGCCATGTTTCAGCATTTATATGCTAATGGAAATTTTCCAGAAGACAGAAAACAACTGAGGGGATAATTAGAGGGACAAAGTTCTATAGGTGGTAAGAGGAAGTGAATTGGCCTTGAAAAGGGAGCACAAACTGTTCATCCATTATAAGAGAAGGGGAAGCAGAATACGTGGATAGAACAGCCAGGAGATTGGTGGATTTGGTAATGGGAACATGAGGTTCAATAATTTGGGAATGGGGAAGGGAGAGGAGATTTGGAGGGTTTTTTTTTTTTTTTAATTTTATTTATTTTATTTGACAGACGGAGATCACAAGTAGGCAGAGAGATAGGCAGAGAGAGAGGAGGAAGCAGGCTCCCTGCTGAGCAGAGAGCCCGATGCGGGGCTCGATCCTGGGACCCCAGGATCATGACCTGAGCCGAAGGCAGAGGCTTCAACCCACTGAGCCACCCAGGAGCCCCGGATTTGGAGGTTTTAAGGGAGAAAAAGCAGGGAATACTATTCTAGGAAAGTTAGAGTATGAGGCGGATTAACAAGTGAAGTGTAGCAGGACTGATGTTTATACTGAGAGCCCCCTTAAGGTTTGCTGTCAAATTTAAAATGAGACCAGTATGGTTGTGCATTTCATTTCAGCCATATTTTTTTAAAGATTTATTTATTTTTAGAGAAAGAGGAGAGGGAGAGACAGAGGGGGAGAGTCTTAAACAGACTCCCCACTGAGCTCAGGGCCCCACCTAGGGCTCAATCTCACAACTCTGAGATTACACTGGAGACAAAACCAAAAGATGGATGCTCAGCCAACTGAGCCACCCAGGTGCCCCCACCTGATATTTCTTAGGTATATGAGTGAAATTTAACTAGGATCCCAACTTTGTCAAAAGAGAACAGAGGAAGGGGCACCTGGGTGGCTCAGTTGATTAAGCGACTGCCTTCAACTCAGGTCATGATCCCTAAGTCCCAGGATCAGTCTTGCATCAGGCTCCCACCTCAGCAGGAAGTCTGCTTCTCCTTCTCATCCTCTCCTCTCTCATGCTTTCTCTCATTCTAATAAATAAATAAATAAATAAATAAAATCTAAAAAAAAAAAAAAAAAAGAGAGAGAATGAGAATGGAAAGAAAAGCAATAAAGTCCTGACAGTTAAATCAAAGTGATGGCTAAAATGATGGGATCATGGAATCTGTAAGGTAAAGAGCAAGATGAGGAAAGAAGAGCACTTATGGTCTAAAGGATTACCTTAGTAAGGTGGAGTATTCATGGTGAGGGAGAGGGAAGAGTGCTAGGGGTAGAATGATCTGGAATGGCAGGAGTCTGTGTGAGCAGGATGCTTGAAAGTGAGAATCTGGAGCATGTACTGGCAAAGACAAGGTATGAGTATGACTAGGGTAGACGGTAATGGTTAAGGGAAAGGTCATTTAAGATCAAGAATTTAAGAAGGCTGGATGGATCATCTCTATGGATGTCAGTGTCACCAGAGTTGATGACAGAAGTAGTAGCAGAAGAAAAAGTAACAGGCATTAAACACTTTAATAGTAATGCAAGGTTATGACTAGCAAGTTGTATTATATAGGACTACAAGGAGTTACAGGGAATGATAAAGTTAAAAGAGCTATAGCACTTGCTTCAAAGAAGGTGGGAGGGGCTGTATTAGAGAAAAGGAAGGAAAATGGCCTGAAATAGTAATGAGGAACAAAAGCGATACATTATATCATCTTTAGGCCAACAATATGAGATATGGGAGAAAAAAGAGCCACTATTTAAGAAAAGAAGCTGTATTTTGGTTAGAGCAAGGTTAAGAAATGTTCACAGAAAATTGAGAATTTAACATTTTGCTGATGATACACCTTTAGTTCAAGAGGGTACAATGCAATGTTTGGAGATGAGAAACAGATTGGGTCAGAACTAGGGCATGTACAGAACTGTATACAGGTAAGAGTCTTGGAAGGCTTGGTCTTCTTGTAGTAAATAAGATAAACAGCACTGTAGCAATGACAGAATTAGTATGTGGGATCTCCCATTACAGTTGTCTTCAAACTTTGTGCTCAACCCACCTCATACATTTTTAAAGCAACATCCAAAAATTTTCATCAAGTCTAAATATTTGCAAATAATGCAATTTCAAAAGAATACACTGAGATATAGAACTATAACTATTACGGAGGCACCTCGGCGGCTCAGTTGGTTGAGCATCGGATTCTTGATTTTGGCTTAGGTCATGATCTTGGGGTCCTGGGATTGAGCCCCACATTGGGCTCCACACTCAGCAAGGAGTCTGCTTGAGGAGTCTTTCCTTTTCTGTCTGCAAAACATCCCCACCCCTCATGCACGCTCTCTAAAATTAAATCCCAAAGGAAAAAAAAAAACAACAACCCAAAACTATAACTATTACATCACACTTCCAACAGGGGGCTTGAATTTGCAATCTCAAGATCAAGAGTTACATGCTTTACTGTGCCAGCCAAGTACCCCTCAAATTTAACCCAATGAGCCACCCAGGCACCCCAAGGTGCCCCTCAAATTTAGATGGAATTTAAATACCACTATCACCCTTTAAAAAATTTATGGACAAACCTTTAACAATTGGAAAATTTAAGTTGTATCTTTTTCCTTGAACTTATATTCCATTCCACTTCTTTCAGAGAATTATCCTAATGCAACATAGTGTGATAGCCTGAAGTGTTTTATTGATTACTCTGTATTACTTTAAAATGGGAAAAATTCTCAAGTCTTCAGAAGCTATACCCCCTTCTATTTTAATTGCAGTTAATAGTGCCCCAAGAATCAGGGGGAAAAAAGAAAATAAGAATAGCAAGGAAGTCAGTGTTCATTCCCAAAGGGAGTAATAAATCGTTGAAGATTATACAACTAGTAACAGAGCAAGGTTAAAACACTTGGTTTCTCTTACTTTCAATCCACTGCTCTTTTCACTAGGCACAATGCCTTGACACTAAATAATAAAACAAACAAACAAAAAAATTAACCTATTCTTAATGAGAGCTTGAGCTCAGCTTTTAAAGAATGAGGGTAAAAACATAAATGTAAATCTGTCTTAAGTTGTCCTACCTTATTCTTTTTAACTTCATTTGTAAGAGTTTGAAGTGTACTTGGAGGAGAATGATTTGAAGCATTTCTTTTTGATTTCCGAGGTATTGTTATATGAAATCTTGGAGTTGCAAGCACAATTTTACATGTATCATTCATGGAACCCAGGACATCAGTCTCTCTGGGTATTGTGTTCTCATTTCCTTCCTTAATTTCCTGTTGTGAAGTCCTTTCTGTCAGTATCTTACCATCAGAAACCACTGACCGGCCATCATTTTTAACAGGAACACAGTCAGTATTTAGAGTCTCAAGAGTAGAATTTTGGGATTTTTCAATGACAGAATCAACGCCTTCTAAAACAAAGGTGTCTTTTTTAGACTTAGTGGTTACAAATGTATTCTCCTTTGAGTGAAGAATTTGTTTAGCCAACTGAGCTCTAGGTAATGCTTTGTTTGAGAATCCAGCAGCTGAAACATTTTCATGTTCTTGGTTCAGAAATGGAACCTCTGTAAAAAATACAAGATCAAACAAAATTTAAAGAAGAATCATATGAAATTAAAAGAGAGAAACAGAATAATATCGAACTATTTATATTAAAAAGCGTTCAGGTTAGGAATGTTCCACCCTTTGGCCCAGTCTTTCTCTGAAAGGGATGCCTACACAGGGAGAATAATTATCTAGAACATTCAACAAAACAAAAAACACTTTACCATAAGTTAAATTATGCAGAGATGCTTTCTTTTCCTGCTGACATTGAATCTTTTACTTTTTCAGAAGGAAAGTACTATTTGATGATTCTAGAGGAACTTCTTGCATTGAGGTTGAGTTTTGTTTTTTGTTTTTTTAAAGAAAGGAAATTGAATTTTATTAGTCACTGAGAAGAAAAAAATGTCATTTACTTATGTTCAATAATGATTAGGTCAATATAATATACTTCTGTAACTTATGAGTTACATTTCCCTTTTTATCTTCTCATGCTTTTATCACATTCTCTGTATCTATAGCATGCTGAGAAAGAATTTTTTAAAAACTCTCCATGTTATAAGTTGCCAGCTCTACACGAAAGTTTATTACTGAACTTAAAAGTTTAGTGATCTGGAATAAAATCTGGTGCTGCCAAAAATCAGAGAGGTCTATCTTAAAATTATATATGAAGCGCCATCCAGTCTTAAAAATTCTGATTCCGCTTCTGGTTGCTATAAATTTCTAAAACGTGAAAGAACAGTTGAAAAGGTGTAGCTTGTATGTTAAGAGTTGCCATGTTGTGACTCAAAAGCAGACATAACCATAATTTATACGCCTTTGACATCTCTTTAGTAGAACTTCAAAGACAAAAATCTGGTAGGCTTATCTATTAGACAAGTAGGAACTAAAAGAATTGGTTACATTTTATTCTGCTTTATATCCTAGATAGTTTTACTTCTTGAAGGTAGAAATGAGTTTCTTTCACACAAAAAGGGGAGGTAATAGACTTAAAATTGGAGGAAAAACTGAATTATTTTATATGTTTAATTTCAAATATTCTGACAAAAATTGGTAATGATTATGCTTTAGTAAATATGCAGCTTCAGCTTTAAAAATTTTAATATAAGGATTTTATTATATTGATGTGTATCATAAAAGAAGGGCAAGTTCCTATTTCTTTAACTCATTCTACTAGAAATGGCATGGCAAAGGAGTAAAGGCAAGTGGGTAATTCAATCAGATATAACATGCTATAGAATCTGGTCATTTATTTTAGAGTACAAAGTCCATGCAGATTCTCCAAAAGGTCTCTGAAATTACACACAAAATTTGTGTTTCTATGTATGTGCATTTTCTGGGAAAAGAGTCATCAGATTCTCAAAGCAGTGTTATTTCTTTCTCCCTCTCTAATTCCACTTAACAAATAACACATGCTTTACTGTGCATTATTTGCTTCTCTCCTTTTCTCCCAAACTGTATGAAACATATTTTGTGTACTCCCCTACCTCCATCCTAAACTCCCTTAGAAACTCTGCTTTTTGTATCAAAATAGATCACTGTCTTTGAAATACAACAATATATCCACAGTCTACTGTATAATAAAGAGCATGCACTTTCCAGTAAGTACTTGTATTAATTCTCAGCACATCACTTATTCCCTGTGAGACATAGAGCAGACATAACCTCTTTGTAAGCCCAGTTTCCCAGACTTTTAAATTAGCATCTACCCATAGTGTCTGCTGAAAGGATTATATGAGATAGTGCATGTAAAATATGTTTATCAATTACTGCAACTCATTAAAGTCTCTATTTCAAATGTCCCAAATTCTGATCATTCTATCTTTCCAGATCATTCTCTCAAATCCAATTACTATCTTAATAATACCTAACACTTCTTCACTCTTCACACTTCCTTATCTCCTTTAGGTCCCCTTTTCTTTGTATAACTAACTTAAATTTCATGGTCCCTTTATATACACATCTCAACTCCTTTGTCCTCTTCATCCTATTTGATAAAATTACAATCCTGATAAAATCCAACTCCCTACCTATACCCCAACAGCACCCATGCAGCTAAATAGGGCTAAAGGAAAACTCATAATCACATTGACTGATCTCATTTAAGTTCATGCTCACAAGTCTCAAGTAGGTCGTTAATGTTGCACTAGAAATCAAATTTAGGTCTAGACCACATACCCGTATTATTTAAACCTCCACCTCCTCAAATTTTAATGCCAGTGTCCCATGCTCACTTTCAGCTGATGACTTTACTGCCCACTTCATTTCTTAAGTCCTACAACACTGCCTATCTTCTTGTTTGATTTATGATGTTTATTTTCCCAGCTAAGGCCAAAACTTCCACTTACAGATTCTGTTCCCTCTTAACTACTCAAGTTTATCATACTACCAATTTTAGTTTTTCTTTCCCTACTGGATTATTCCCAAAAGCATACAAAAATGATCTTTCACTATACATTAAAGACAATTCATATACATGTATATTAAAAATATATGTATATATTTTTAAGTAGGCTCCAGGTCCAACATGGGGCTAGAACTCAACAACCCCAAGATTGAGAGCTGTACACTCTACAGATTAAGCCAGCCACCCCAAAACTAAAATATTTTAAAACCGTACCTCCCATATTTCTTTGCTCCCTTCAAAGAGTTGTCTATACTTACCACTGTCAATTTCTCTCCTTCACATTCTCTCTTGAACCCTTTTGAATCATGTTTTTGATCTGATCACGCCACTAAATCCCCTCGTCAAAGCCACCAATGACCTCCATGTTGCTAAATCCAATGGTTAAATCTCAGCCTTCATCTTACTTAACTGATCAGCAGCATTAGATACAGTGAAAGACTCTGGCTTCCAAAGTATCACTTCTGGTTTTTCTTCCTCCTTGACTTCTTGTGTTTTGTTTATTCTTAACTTCTAAATTTTGGGGTGCCTTAGGACTCATCCTTGAATGTTTTCTCTTTCTTCACTTACTCTTTGATCTCATTTAGTCTCTTCAAACATTATTTAGGTGCTAATGATTCCCAAATGTCATTTTTCTCATCTGGACCACTTCCTTAAATTTCAACTAAATTTTTTCAACAACCTAATCACATCTACACTTCAATTTTTAACAGATATATAAAAATTAACGTACAAAAAACTTAATTACTGAGCTCCTCCCCACCTTGTCTATCCCATTTCAGTTAAATCACTCCATCCTTATAGATACTCAAGCAAAAAAACCCAGAACCAAACAACAAAGAACAGCCTTGAAGTGGTTTTACATTTTTATATCTATATAAAAGATAAATAAAAATCTTTATAAGATATAAATCCTTTATATCTTTATACATCTTTTTATATCTTTACATTCTCCACCTTTGTATCTTTTACATTCCACACCCAGTCTATGAGCTCTTCCTTCAAAATATACCCAGAATCCAACCACTTATTATTTTCACTGCTACCACCTAAACCTAAACCAACACCTTATCTCACCTAGATAAACGCACTATTTCAAATTCACAGCCAAGTGATATTTTAAAAATGGAAGTCAGATCTTGTCATTTCTCTGCTCAGAACCGGTCACTGACGCCTTAATTTGCTCATGTAAAACACCAAACATTCGCTATGAGGTTCTATGTTATCTGACTGTAACCATCCTCTCTTCTCCACTTCCGTCCACTCACTCTACGATTTATTAATCTCATAGCTGGTTCCTGAATTTTTGAGGAATCCTTCTATTCCAGGACATTTGTGTTAGCTGTTACTTTGTGTGGATCATCCCTCTCAATTCTTCCAATATTCTGTCTGTATCTATCACCTCCTTCAGTTTTTTGGCTCAAATGCCATCTTCTCATTGAACCACAGCCTGACCACCACATGGAAAATTACAACCCACTGCAACTCTCCCCATCATCCTTACTCTGCCTTTTCTTTTCATAGCACTTTTCTTTTGTACTATAAAAACTACTTATTTTAAATCTGTCTCTCCCACCACCTGAATATGAGCTAGTTACACAAGGGTTGAGATTTTTGTCCATTTTGTTCACTCTTGTTTCCTGAGTACCTAAAACAGTATCAGACACAATAAACACAACACATCATAGCTTTTCAAACAACACATAATAAAACTGACCTTTTGGTGAACTGTTATCTGATTGGGATGATTTGTTTTCCTTTTCTTCACAGACGTAGGTATACTGCAATAGTCTTTTCTCAGCTCCTTTAGGAGTGAAAATTTTCTTTTCACTTTTTGGTGGTTCCAACAAACTCCTGTTTCCTGATGCTTGTTCTTGCTTGTCACGCAGTACTTTTTCTTTCATTCTTTGAAATATTTTTCCTGGTGATTCATAGTTTGTTTTATTTTTTAATCTATCCTTGTTGGGCTTTATAGCACTGATATCAAGAGAGCTGTTAGAGGTGGTAGCCTCTGCTAGCATGGTGGAATGAAATATATTTTTATTATTAAAATTTGTCATTTTTAGGAAATTATTCTTTTTATAGTCATTCAATGTTGAAAAGGGGTTCTGATATTTTGCCAAATCTTTCACAGGAGTAAGTGTGCCTGCAGGAATGCTGTCAAAAAAGATTGCTTGCATGGGCATATTCCTTCTTGGAGAAGAGGTCTCTGAAGACAAATGAATTTCTGGGTGTTTCAAAGGTGTTGCAATCATCTTGATAAACAGTAGAAACAAATTTTCTCTAACAGATAGGTCAGTTAAACACAATGTTCAGGGTAGTAGACCTTCAGCAGGGGCCCAGAGGAACCTGTAGTTTAATGTGAAATCAACCTTTATAATGCTTTACAAAAAAATTTATTTGCTTTCAATAATAATATTATTTTAATTAAAAGGTAAAATTGGTTCATAACAACACTGGATAATCTATAGCTCACAAATCTAAGGTTTTATGTTTTTGTTAAAGACTCATTATTATTTTAGATGAGCAGTTTGGTCTTTAAATTTACTTCTCTAGAAAAAACAGTATTCACCAAATCATCTACTTAGTAACTATAAAAATTGAATTTTGAGTATCTGATTTTTAACATACTTTAACCTCAAGTCCTAGAGGTTTCAATCTAATATTTGCTTCAAAAAGCATTAAATCATATTCACATATGGCACTATATTAGACTCTAAAAGATTAAATTTCACAAACATCACTTTTCCTTTTCAGCACTTAAATTTTAAGGCAGCAGCTATGATGATACAACCTAATGAAAGCTGAAAGATTCATTCTATTTTTAAATAATTCCCAGTTCTGATTTTGTTATGCCGCTGAACATTTTAACTATGAGGTTTTAGTTGAAAAACCCTCAAATTAAAGTAAATTATACTCATTATGATTTAAAAGAAATTAACACTATTTAGAATTTTTAGCGGAAATCATGTATTTGAGCATACATGGTCTTAGACTTGTTTTAGCTTGCTTTTATAAATATATTTTACTTACCACACCTATAATTAAGATTCTAGGTGGTGAGCCATATAGTTGTATTTTGTAATACTTGGTAAATAAATAAAACGTTTCCACCCAAGATGCTTGGAACTTACTAGTTTCAACTTGCTGCATCTCTTTTGCTAAATTTATAACTATTCTAATCAGTCTTTGACATCATATAAACATAAAAAGTGTACCACAGAAAATACAAATGTAGTCAGATCAAAGAAATCAAGTATCTTTAAGTAACTTGTGTGAGAAGTATGCAAGTTAAAAATTCATACACAAATAGTATCTTATCCAATAATTTATAAGACAAAAAAAGGAAATTTTCCTTAATAACAAGAGCTGACAAAGAAGGCTATCTTGGCAATCTAGTCCTGTGACACAAAAACTACTGAATTCTTCCACAGAATGTTAATTCAGTAAATATATACCAATAATGCATAGATTTATGTGTTTGGCAATATGCTAGTGATAGGAATCCTGTGCTGAGAGTTAAAGTACTCATTAGTGGTTCACTTTAAACTCTCAAGATCAAAAATGAATAAACTGGGACTGGGAGGTGGAGATGAGAAAAAAATTAGGGGAATTTTAAGTTAACTGGCATATACACTTGGAGGAGGGGAACAAACAAACAAACAAAACCCCCCCAGCACTGGACATAATAAAGGAAGTGATTCAAGTCAATTACTAGAAATAACATTCAAAGTGACCAAATGAATCAATTTTAAGAAAATGATCAACACAGAAAAGGGCCAAAAGGCGTGAAAGGCAATTAATAAAGCGCACGAAAAGCCACTCAGTGAGTCAAATGACACTTCATTTTACTAATAAACGAAGAGATACAAATTTAAACAGTGGGACTTTTTGCTTATCAGATTGGAAAAGATCAATTTCAAAATATAGGTGTGTATGCTATTGACCAAGAAATTCCACTTCTAAATTTTTTTCTTACAGAAACAACTACATTAAGGATGCAAATATATAAGTGGTAGTAACAGTCAATATTTATTGCATGTTGTCAGATACTACATAACCTTACAGCAATTCTGGAGAGTTTTGAAGATGGGGAAACTAAGGTACAGACAGGTAGTTAAATAACCTGCCCAAGGTCACACTGACCATGATTAAGAGCAGGACCTAAGTCTGAGTTCAAGGCCCAAGTTCCTAAACAAGCACTATACAGTTCACTGAAGTACTGGACAAATTATTACAAACAATTTAGATCTCCACCACTACGGGACGAAATTCTGCTACATCCACAGAGTTGAATTCTATTTATTCAGTAAAAAGATATATTCCCGTATATGTACTGACACAGAAAATAGCTAGGATATATTAAATTTAAAAAAAAGGAAAGAATAGAAGAGGACGTACAATCTCATTTCTGTAAAACACATGAGCATAAGCATAGGGAAAAAAGTCTGGAAGTGTACCAAATTGTGAATAGTGTTTAACTTTGAAGAGTAGGATGAAGGGGCTCACCATTTTCTAAATAATTTTATTAACATCTAGGTATGTTTGTAACCGATGTGTAATTAAACCAGAAGAAATCTTGAGCTCGATGGATCAACTGTTTCTACAGCACCGTGGATCTTAGGGTCCAAGGGCAGTGATGCACACAAACCACTCTTAACGTAAAGGGGTTTTTTTGGTTTTGGTTTTTTGTTTGTTTTTTTTTTTTTACTATCAGTAATTTTAGAACAAAGGCTTAGAGCGTTCACCATCGAAACGAACCTGAACGATAGTAGACAAGCAACAACTATGCACGCAATGAATGAGCAGTTGTGAGATCCCCCCGCCAAGCAAAAAATGTACAAAAGCCCACGAGGGGTGAAAACGCTGAGAGGCTGGGACTCTCAGCGTCAGAGGGGACGGGTGGCAGGAGGCGAGGGGGTCGGTGGAAGGAGTTCATACCTTGGGTGAAGAGCCTGACAGGGCTAGAAGGCGGCAGTCCGGGCTTGGCTTCGCGTGGGTTGGGCGATCCCAGGGCTCGCGCCTCCCACCCAAGTCAGCTCCAGGCCCCGCAGCCGAGCCTCAGGTGACCCTCACTTCCTCCGCGAGGTTCCCCGACACCCACAACAGTTTGGGAATTCAAATTTGAAGAGCCCGCCCTCCAGCCAGCCCCTTATTGGCGCGCTCAGGAACTGCGTCACTGAGTGACTCGAAAAAACTGGGGGTAGCCCCTACCGCGCAGACAATGCTGTTTCCACAAGTGGAGGGTAACCCCAAGCTGCCAAGAGTACCCAGAGCGCCGCTGCAGAAGAATCCGTTTCGTTTTCAGAGGTCGCGCGCCCCTAGCGCGTTTCGCCGCTCCTCCCGTTATGCTCTGCGGCAGGAAGGCCTACGTCAGACGTCACTTGCGTTCTCCTGCGCTCTTGCGGTTTATTAAGTTTGGCCTTTCTCAGCTACCCTCCTCCGCTACTAGTTTGAGAGCTGGTGGTGGTCTGTTACTTGTCTGAAGAAACAGCTTTCCGAGTGCTTTTGAGAGAGCTTTTAGTTTTCCCTGGCAGCCAGATATTTGAGAATGAGAAAGAAACGTTTTGTTCTTGAGAGCATAATAGTCTGAATGCAAAGTTATACTTGCAATGGCATGTTTAATTTGAGTTGTTTCCCCAAGAAGTGTGATGTTTTCTGAACCTGATTTTATCGAATCCCAAAAGCTTTAATCTTGACGACTCTGGGTTGCAAAGCAGTTTGTGACAATGCACTGAGACTGAGCCTTGCCTTAGATGGCACCCAGTGATGCTCTGCTCCAACCACCGCGGATTATGGTGCATCCTTCACCTCAGCGCTCTGGCAAGACGCGTTCGCTAGCTGGAAGCATTGTGTAGCGCGCCCTGTTTCAGTGTTGGGGACAGAGAAAGAGGTGCCAGAGGAGTAACAAATGTTTTCAGTCTAAACCCCTTCCAGCTCTGATCCAGCAACTTCTCTCCATTAACTCCATCCCCCTCCCCAACAAGACAGCACGGGACAGGAGAATTTATTTTATTCTTCATCCAGGAAGATTCCTCAGCATCCTAGGACCATATATCGCATTTTTCCGTTAACATTGGACGCACTGGTTGTGATGGATTGTTTAAAGTGACTTTTGCAATCCCCTTGTCTAAATCCTGTTTTCACTAAATCTTGTGCACACCGAATATTCAGAGTCCGAAATATAAATTTAAAACATGCAAATGACTGCAAGTAAGGAAAAGAAAACAGTTGAGGTGAGGAGATGAAAACAAATCTACATAGATAAAATGAAGTTTCTGTCTGTGCAGCATAATGAGAAAATGGCTGGACATGAATTTGCACAAGATTTGTGGGGAAAGCTAGACTTAAGGTATCTGGAAAGTGTATGAAATGCACACTGTGTGAGAGAGACTTCGAGGAGATAGGCATTCATATTCCAAAGCATCTGGAATAGAAATATGAGAAGTTTCTATGCCTTTTATGGAGATGGCAGTGGCTCACACATTCAGCCAGACTAGGAACCTTATTAAGGGTAGACACTCAGAAATATAGACATTAATTTTTTTAAAAAATATCACTCTTCATATTAGAAATAGCTAGTATATAGCATGCTCCAGGGTGAACAGCAACAGATAGAAGGATAACTAATGATTTTCCAAACAAAACTGGAGGAAACAGTTTATGGATAGCAAACTGTGATGAGAGGGCATACAGGCAAAGGGACAATGTTCATTTGTCCACGGGGACATCAACATACTGCCCTGGATGGGCCTTTCTTTAAGTTTCAGTCAGCCTCTGGATAATCTGTCCAGGCTTAAGTCTGTTACTCATGGTAACACATGCAGACCTCCTTAGGGTCCAAAGGACAGTCAAAGGAGGAAGAGAATTGAAGCCTCACACTGTGTGGGAGCTGCTGCCAAGGCATCTGGGTCTGCTTAGCCTGGAGGAATATTCCCAGGACAATGGTAAGTTCCAGCAGAGTACTAATTGACCATATAGCATTTTATGTTTTGGGGAGAATCAGAAAAAAGATGCTCTTTCTTCAAGGCTGATAGTTTTCAACCAAGGGTGATTTGCACCACCACCCCACCCCCCAGCGGGGCATTTAGCAATGTTTGGAGACATTTAAAGCATAAATGTCACAGCTGAGAGGGATGCCACTGGCATCTATTGAGTAGAGGACAGGAATGCTGCTAAACATCCTACACTGTGCAGGACAGCCCTTCCAATACAAAGAATTAACCAATCTAAAATGTCAATAATGCCAAGGGTTAAGAAATCCTACATTTGTAAGATATAGCCCTGAAACAGGATTTTAGATTCTTTTCACTCTCTCAGTTGTGTTTCCCTTATGTAAGGTGTAACTATATAATTACTACTGCTGTGTCTGGGCCTAGAGGAGGGATGAGGATGCAGTCAAAAGGGAGGTTATCCAGGCTGTGTGAGGGGAGGACCCTTCAGAAGAAAAAACTGCCAGAGATTTCTGTATAATAGAGACATTACTACAAACATGTAAACACATTACAAGTTGTAATAAGTGCTCTAAAGATGACTAAGGTTAGATCCTGCAAGAAGAAATGGAGTTAGGAGTACCAGAGATTTACTGGGAGGTAAAGCCTGTGAGGGTCAAGGGAAAGGAAGAAGGATTGGGCCTGATAAACCTCTAGACTTTGATTCATACTTTGATACAGGATCGGGCAGAGGGAGCCTAATATTGCAATGCAGATTTGACAAAGTATTGGCTAACACAACAGGACTTGGGGTAATCCATCAGAGGTGTCCTGGAGTAGGCAGAAATGGGTTGGTCCTGGAATACATAATGATGGAAGCTTCCTGGGAAGAAGATGGCCTTGACTTAAAGGCTTAAAAAAACATTTTTTTTAGGGGAGCCTGGCTGACTCAGTCAGTAGAGTTTGTGACTCTTGATCTTAGGATTGTAAGTATAGGGCCCGCATTAGATGTAGAGATTACTCAAAAATACAATCTTTTTCCTTAAGGATTTTATTTCTTTATTTGACACAGAGAGATCACAAGTAGGCAGAGAGGCAGGCAGAGAGAGAGCAGGAAGCAGGCTCCCTGCTGAGCAGAGAGCCTGATGGGGGGCTGGATCCCAGGACCCTGAGATCATGACCTGGGCTGAAGGCAGAGGCTTACCCCACTGAGCCACCCAGGTGCCCTTAAAAATAAAATCTTAAAAAAGAACCGCATTTTTAAATTAAATTTTTTTGGGATTGAGATATAATTGTTGTATGACATTATATTAGTGTCAGATGTATGACATAATGATTTGATATATGTATATACTGCAGAATGATCACAATATGTCTAGTTAATATCCATTAGAACACAGTTATGATTTTTTTCTTGTCATGATAACTTTTAAGATCTACTCTGTTAGCAACTTTCAAATATACAGTAAGTATTATTAACTATAGTCACCATGCTATACATTACATCCTCAGGACTTATTTATTTTATAACTGGAAATTTGTGCCTTTTGACCACCTTCACCCATTTTACCCATTCCCACCTGCCTCTGGCAACTGCCAGTCTGTTCTCTGTATCAGTGAGTTGGATTTTACTTTGTTTTGTTTTTAGATTTCACATAAAAGTAAAATTATACAGTTTTTGGCTTTCTCTATCTGGCTTATTTCACTAAGCATAATGCCCTCAAGATCCATCCATGTTGTTGCAAATGGCAAGATTTTCTTCTTTTTTTATGGCCGAATAATATTATATTGTATATATATACCACTTCTCTTAGCATTCATTCTTAGTGGATGCTTAGATTGTTTCCATGTCTTGGCTATTGTTAATAATGCTGCAGTGAACATGGGGGTGCATATATCTTTTTGAGATAGTGATTTCCTTTCCTTCAGATATATACTCAACAGTAAAATCCAGGATCATACAGTAGTTCTATTTTTAATTTTTGGAGCAATCTCTATACTATTGTTTTAAGTGACTATGCCAGTTTACAATCCTAACAATAATATACAAGTATTCCCCTTTCTCCACATCATTGCCAACACTTGTTATCTCTTGTCTTTTTGATGATAACCATTCTAACAGGTGTGAGGTGGTAGCTCATTATGGTCTTGATTTGTATTTTCCTGACAATTAGTGATTTTGAGTGTCTTTTCATGTACCTGTTGGCCATTTCATTGTCTTCTTTGGGAAAATGTCTATTCAGTCCCTCTGCCATTTTTAAATCAGACTTTGGGGTTTTGTTTCATTTTGTTTTACTTTGCTTTGCTATTGAGTTGTATGAGTTCTTCATATATCTTGGATATTAATCCCTTATGAGATATATGATTTGCAAATATTTTCTCCCATTATGTAGGTTGCTTTTTCATTTTGTTGATGGTTTCCTTTGCTGTACAGAAACTTTTTAGTTTTATGTAGTCTTCCTTATTTATTTTTGCTTTTGTTGCCTTTGCTTTTGGTGTCAAATCCAAAAAAATAATCAGCAAGACTGATGTCAGCGAGCTTACCACCTATGTTTCCTTCTAGGGGTTTTATAGTTTCAAGTCTTCCATTCAATTCTTTAATCCATTTTGAATTAATTTTTATAATTTTGAATTAATTTTTTACTTGATTTTATGAGTAGATTGGTGGCCCTGTTTTTTTTTTTCTCTTGCATGTAACTGTCAGTTTATTGAAGTCAAAGATTTAACAGATCCTGATGGCAATGCAGTTGGAGGCTGTTTAGTTAACTGCACTCCTCATAGACCAGTGACACCTTTTAATGAATAGAGGTTTGAATTTCACACTTCATGGCTGCCATAGAAGGACAATTAAAAGGTTATAAGAGGTAGAGTTTATTTGCAGTGGCTTTTGTCTTTTTGTGCAACCCACAATAAGATATGTGTTTTATATTGTACCAAATAAATGCATAAATACATGTAACTAAAGCAAGAGTTTTTCAGACATTACTTATCTTTACTGTATGCAATCATACTGATATTTTCCTCTTCTATTTCCTGTTTTTTAATGCTTGTGTATAACTGTAGGACAGTGTGAATATTTTCATGTTTCTGCATAGTTAACACATTTTTTTCTTTTTAAAAAATTGTGATGAAATTCACATAACTTAAAATCAACCATTTAAAAGTAT